AGCGGCAGTTTAGTATATCCTAGTTGGCATTAAAATTAGTTGGTCCGAAGTACCAGGCTCTTCCGCCTAAAAAACTTGAGTTTAAGGGGTTGATTAAATCCGAGTGTATTTTTGCGTCTTCCCACTTTACTCTTTCCACTTTACTTCTTGTCTCTACGAAGTCATCTGCCGGTTGTGAGATAGAGGTTACCGGATTAACTCCAGCTGGCGGAGTGAAGCCTCCAAAAAAAGCTTTATCTTTGGGCCGTGTGGTAAAGTTTACCGGATTAACTCTGCATTCGCTTGGGTGCTTGATCCTGTGGACCAATAGATGTTTTCCCCGTAAGGTACTTCAAAGTGTATGCGAGCGCAGTCGTCGCCAGCAGATGCTCTGATGGCGGCCCAGTCAAAAGCATACGATTCCAGCATGGTGTCCTATGTCAAGCTCGGTAGGCCTTGATTCAACTTCCAAGTTATGAGATACGATGTAACTCATTGCCATGAAGCGAACACTAACTAATTAATTGGAGTGAACACCCAAGGAATTACTCCGGGGCTCTCTCCATAAAATTGAATAATGTAGTTTTCAAACGTCTTGATTTAGCCCAACTCAAACATCATTGTGCAGAGTGAGGTACTCGTATTTTGTGGATTGACCTTGGACGACATTGATTATCGGATTAACTTCAGATGGCCTACGAAAACCAGTTTATCTTTTAACCAGGTGCTTAGTGCCGGCTTCCGGTCATGTGGCAGCGGCCTAACTTGCGACACTAACTTGAATGTTAGACTCCAAATAGCTAATAATAATGGCAAGAGAAATAAAACGCAATTGATGAAAGTTGGGAAAAGTTATGTTGGACATATAGAAAGACATACATTGCCGAAGTATTTCCCACCTTCACGATCACAACGGGAGCTTGACAAATCCAAATTTGGTGGCACATGTCGTAAAAAACACAACCCAGCTTCATATTCTCTAGAGTATCGATCAAAGAACTTGGATCTGTTGAAACCTAAACGGAGCCAGCGGAAATCTCGGAAGATCGTCACACTGACATTTATTACAAACAATCATGTTTATGTATTACAAAAATTTATAGATCTAATCTCAAAAAGCTAGAGAGTTAAACCTCCCAATAGTGTCATATCGTGTGAGTGACATACTTCAATTAGTGACATGAAAATGAAGAACCATTAGTTTCTAACTGGTAATTCTATACAATAATAACAATATGTCACTATTTTTAATAGTGTCATTAGATTTTTCAATAGTGACTGTGTTGAGCTTTAATAGCTATTATAATTGCCAAAAGTCTTTGATTAGAGTTAAAAGTCTCGGTTTAGAGCTTGCTGATTGATCTATCCCTACATTTAAGAGTCCAACTCGCGGCTGAAATGAACGCTTCTTCTCAGTGCTTACAGTCTTCTCAATCCTTAAATCCGTGTTACGGATCAAATGATGTGGGCAAAGAGGAAAGTGACATAGACAAAGTTTTTGATATGACATTCAAAGAGCTGAAGTAAGAAGAAGTGTCTTACAATACCCTTACGAGTTGTAGAAGACGATATACGAGGTGATACTCTGTACGGGTTCTTGGCCAGCCTTATGAGAAACGTCTTCCCATCCTATGGAATGGTGTGGCTTTGAGCAAGCTCTCTCAACCTCAACTTGAACTGCGCAAGGTACTAGAGCTAGTTGCCACTTTTCCAACGTCACATCGGTCGACTTAGACACATTCATGCTTTTTGCAAACCTCGCTTGATCTTGAATTTCATCCGACATAGGCTTCACTCCATCTGAGCTATACTTGAAAGACTCCATCAACAAAATTGTGTGTCTTGCCAGTGTGTGAATTAAGACATCTCAATTGAAGCAACTTTTCACTTATTAGTGGATGGAGTGATGTAAGTATTTATGGATTGATCTTTTCATGATCGGTGAGGCATGTCAATACACATCCTCTTTGGCATTTTCAAGTGAGAAAGTACTTTTTCATGAAATGATGATTAATTCTGTGGATCATGAATAAAAATTCGCTCCCATCGTTTTAATCAAAACGAAGGATTTCACAGCATTTCCGTAGTCCTCCACTCTCAAGTATCTCAACGTGCATGAGTGCATTTATTGTTATATTTAGGTCAAGACCCAATCTTCACTATAGTAAGTTTCACAATTTTGTTGCACCTTATCGAACTATCTTCATGAGATGAAACTCTGTTCTTCTTTCTTTAAGAAGAGTTTATTTAGTGAATGCATCACAATGATCACAAACAAGAACTTGCAACTTCATATAACTTCTAATTGCCCTGGTCATGACAACAAGGAACAGTTGGAGGTTCGTGGCTCTTGAGAATCTCAAGAATCGAGCTGTTTTTTATGTTTTATGCTAATCAAACGCATTTATTTGAGGGAGCTGCAGTGTTAAGATTTGCGAAGGCTGCCAATCTTGCGCTTGACGTAGACTTAGTGCTTTATGTACTTATTGCTGAGCCCTTGTCATCCCGTAATCTGGACATGGAATTACATCAATCTAGTACTTCATTATTAATCAGGAACACAAAAGGGAATATTCATCAACAAAATTTTAGGTACAGAACTAAACTTCCATAATCACCAGCATTGTCCTTTGGTACATTCTTCTCATTATGACTTCGAGTCAAAATGTTAACATCTCGATATTCTGGACTTGCTATACAGAAAGTTTCATGGAGTTTCAGACGACTTAATAGTTAGCAAGCAAGGTACAAAAATGAAAGCCAACACTACTAACGGACTTGCAAACAATATCCATAAATTGATCGATGATACTCAATCTGGATCTAAAATATAGAAATTCCATCCAAAATAAATTGCGTATTGGGAATACGCTTAACCCTAGAAAAGCTAGGTGAAAAACTTGACAGAGAATCGGTTGGCACAATGGCCAATTCCAGCAAATTTTGGCCATTTCCGGAAGCCTGTGGTGATTCCGACATCTGAATATAGATCCTCTCAATGAATTCTGTTGTTTTTTATCATAGAAATCTTTCTCACATGCATCCAGCAATCAACTCACACGACTAATACCATGTGTTAAACTCAAGAGAGAAAAATTTAGATCTGCGGAAAACTTTCTGAATCCTAACTCCACATCCACCATCCAACGTGTGTTAAACTCAAAAAGAAAGAAAATTAGATATATCATATCATAGAAATATAGTTTATAATCTGATTGTCGATTGTGTCAATCGTCTAAATTTCTCAATAATTGTTGTTGTATCAAAGGAGTATGAGCTCTTTGGAGGTTGCAAAGCAACTTACTTTCTAATTTTGTTGATAAAAACGATTCTATAGACAAAAAATTGATCAAGTTAGTGATCGCTCGATTCGCCTACTCAACTATCACCAAAGGTGAAACCTCACCAAAATCATCATCATTCGATGTACTATCACTCTGCAAGAGATTATGTTGCTTTAAAACCGATTTGATAATGCTAACATCGTTATCATAATCATCGCCAGAAGCATCAACAGCATTGAGGTCAATAAGCTATTCGGCAACTACTTCTATACTTGAGTGATCAAGACCCAAGGACAATGAAAAAGAATCAGTAAGTCAAATTTCTTGAATAGTTTTCATCAAATCATTCACGGCCTGATTTGAGCTGGTTCTGTATCTATCTATATCTATCTATATCTTGATTCAAAATTACGTTAGATACAAGAGGTAGACAGTTGGCTTTAACAAAATACCTTCGAATAGTATTTTTTTCTATGCCATCCGATGCAAATTTCACCCAACCAAGTACATTATGTAGATGTATATTATTGTTGTTGGAAATTGAGAATAAGATGCTCGTTCACTCGCCTTCCACATCTTATATTCACAATTAAATGATTCAGTTGAGCATGACAAAAATGAGCTTTGAAAGATCGAATGATATCTTGATTAAGAGGTTGACATTCGTTAGTAGCATTCGGAGGGAAAAAAATGATACACAGGTTTTCAAATCCGAAAAAAGATTTCGTTGATCCGATAGATCTAAAATCTTAGACGCACAAACCTGAGAAAAACAGTAGTCTTGAAGTATGTAAAAGATGTAGTTGCGGTCCTTGGCAATTTTTTTGTACTTGTGAAGCAGACACATGTAAATGTATCCTGGCAAGCTTTAGCTTGATGATCATAAATAATTCTGAACGCTTTACTTATGTCATGAATGTCTTTCAAAGCACGTGGACGAGCACTCTTCGTGATCACCTTAGTGACAAACTTTTCACTTGAAGCACTAACTCCAAGCGTCACTGTAATTAGTTCTTCACTTTGCTTCACTCCACGACCAGAACGATCTTGATGACATCGTGCGATGCTATAAAGCCGACTTGTCAATGTTAATGATGCATTCGAGTGGTATATCGCATAACATTTCATGAATTTGTTGCAGACGCTTCTCCACTTCCATGACACTGATACTGTTTTGTTCTCCGCACCTTCTCTTACTCCATGTTGAAATGCGCTCCAAATACTTCCTAAACATCCATTTGACACAACAAATGTTTGCAAAGAAATTGCATGTGAAGATGTTAATCACTCTGTTAATCTCTTAAGTCAAGCAAAATTTTGTCTTGAAAAAACATAGGCTTCTTCTTGAACATCTCACCCATCACATTGAGCGTGGGCGCATTGATCTCAATACGAACATGCCATTGTTGCACCATTTCCATAAGAAGTTGCACTCGTGTCAATGTAAAATTTTTTTTAAACATATCTTGATTTGATTCTAACGACACCCATTTGATAATTTCTTTCTCTTTCCAGATTTTCGAAACAGTTGTACGTGCCACCGAAATGCCGATGCAGCTTTTTCATGGGTGGCTACACGGAGCATACTGCGAAGCCAATACGTGTGATACGCATGTCTCGTAGGCTTGGAATAACAAATATCATTGTGACATCTTTTATCAGCAAGAGCGTTTAGTCGTCAAAAAGATCATCGAGCTTTTCAATAACGGATTATATACGCTAGAGCGCCGAATCTCAGAATTTCGACTTTATTACGAGATTAAACATCTTGAAAAATGATAATAAGCTGAACTACAACTATGGGTCTACATTGTGACATCGTGGAATCCAATCATTCCAAACTGAGTAACTCTACCTTTTGCTCTAGGATTTTACAATCAAGTTGTTATGAATAACTTCAAAATCTCAAATCAAATGGTGTATTATTAACTAGCTAATGAATGAAAGAAGACTTAAAAATAAACAAATTGCAATTTCTCCAATCACCTCATTGGATTGGTATATGCACCTTAATATAAACATCTTTGCTTTTCAAGGATTCTATCGAAAATATAATACATCCTCATTGATTGATTGTATCCTTCTTACTTGACCATTTGACAGAGAACAAACGCTACATAGCTACAAGAACTCACTTACATAAGTAGTCTACACACCGGAACAAGAAATCCGGGATACCGAAGGTGAATTAGCAGTTACTTCGAATTTACCAATCGCTCAAGCGTCGTGGATTTCTGCTTCCATATGCTGCTTCCATGGGGAGAAACTTAAGAAGATCCAAATAGAATGATAAATCCGAACAAAAGCCATCCTTGTGTCTCAACATACCGCATGGGCTGTTGTGCAGATAGTTGCTTGCTTCCCTCAATGTCCAGCTTGGAGGCGAAATTTCGAGCACTTTGTGGATTCAGTTGAAGGGGAAATTGTCAATGACATAGGAGACAATGTCCCGTCCAATTGGCGCAGTCACTCACGCCATTCCAAAGATAAGAGAATAAACTAGCACAAGTTCCATGAGAGGAAAAGGAGTACGGCCTTGTTCATGAACAGTTTTACGTCTCATGTCATGTCATTGAGTGGTGCTCAATATTTTGAATGATGGGACATATTTTGTCCTAGATCACATAAGATGATAAAAATTCAGTAGGTACCTCTTTTCTCACCTCCATGTCTACCACTCTGAACTCTCGTACACATACATAAGCTTGCTACTCTGCTACTACAAAGATCTTTAGTCAAGAGTGGTACCAATTTTGTTGATGCTAAAATATCGGGACAGTATGCTCTTCCGAACCCATCTTTTGGGACTGGACTTATCCGCCGTACCATTATGCTCTAATACCAGGCTTCGTATCGGGCGGACTACCGGCAAGCCAACCCCATACTCCTCCCCCAGTATTAGGCTTTTGTGATGCAATTTCAGCAACTTCTTCTGCGGCAGCTTTTTGGCGACGGAGAAGCTCAACCTCCTTTTGTAGAGAATCCAGTGATTGTAGTTTTTGTTTAAACTCTGCGACATCCACCTACACAACATTCACAAGTGATCAAAATTAGAAACGGTGAAGCAAATGAGTAACGCGACTTGGACTTCAACACATTACTCAAATGGGATACTCAAATGTGCCTTCGGTGATGCGTTTTAAGTGCATTTGAACTTGAAGGATAACATGTTTATAACGAAACCTGTTGCTCCAATTTAGATATTAATATCTACAGTACATGGAATGTCCTTGACGTACCTCTAGTCTGAAACACCTAGATTGCTCATCGGCGAGCTGGCCCCTTACAGCAGTAAGCTCCTGTAAATGTTCATACCACCACCAGCTTAACATCCATTCAGATGGTATGGTCTTCGTGCAAGAGAAGGGTGCAGCTTATTTCATCATGCTTCGTCTAGTGTTTTACATGGCTGGAAAGCGCTCAGGATAGCGCCCATTCCCTCTCTCTTGTCAAGGAATCAGACGACCAGCACGCCTTTATTGAAGAAAATAAAGCCCTGGACCCCTTATGAGATATTGAAAGCAAATGAAATCCATGCAAAATGTCCCGGCGAACCTGCTCTAAGTCGGAATACTCAAGAAGAGTTGAAGCCAGATCTCGCTTGTACTTTGCCACCTCAGCTCTTGCTGATTCCAGCTCCTCTTGCAGCTTTTCCACTGACCACGAGTCCACCTCTTTCTGTGTGTAGACGAGAATGTCAGGTAGGATTCAAAGCTGTATTCGTCTAGTTTTCAAGCATAGACTGACGAAGAAAGGCACTGACATCTCTTACCTGTTGAACAATGTCCTGGACACTCGTCGCTGGTAGCTCTGGTTCTTGAGGTTTTGGTGATAGAGCTTGTGACTCCATTTGTGCAGCTTCAGCAGACACGCTCCCATTCACCGTCAAGCGAGGAACTGCAAAAGCAGCTGCAGCAGAGGCAGCAGCTGCTTCTGCGGCTGGAGACTGAAGCACCTTTTGCTTTGCCTTCTCAGCAGGGCTTGCTATGAACATATGCACCTAAAAAGACGGTATAATGTTGCTCTGATAAGATTAACTTCTCTCTACAGGACATCTCATGCAAACTAAACGAACATATAGAAGGTGCAGATGTACAAAACCTTTGTGAGAGATCCTCATGACCAAGTAACTGGAATAACTTCAACCCAATTAAGAAACACACACCTCGTTACTGTAGCGCCCATTGTATCCCCCAAAGGATATCAAAGTCTCTTCACCGCGTAGGACCGTAGATACCACACTTAAGCCCTGGCACATCAAAGCACTCATGCGATGAGGATTGTGCTCGCAATGATAAATGATACATGACCTTTGAGCGAATTGGGAAGTATACGGTTGAACCAAGAACTTAGTCTCGCGGTTCAACACACAAGAATTAAGTACACATAGTTTATGAGATCGTATATATGCATCCTCAAACAATCTCACCCTCTCCGCGCATGAGTACGAACATGACTACGATGATTTTAAGGGATGTACGCTCGAGGAAATAGATGGTTAATAGAAAGCTGGCAGAATTTAAGGAGATAGGAGGTCACAGAACTATCACACCTCACTGGCAATTGGTGTTCTTCCCTGCTCAGTAGCTACTACGTGCCACACCAAGGTGGCCATATTCAACACCAAAGTATCAGATATACCTGAATAGAGTCATCCAGCGTGAAATTGTGTCAGCACCAGAATACAGAGATAAATCTACCGTCCGTAAAGACTCTGCGAGATCATGGAGACATGGTCCCAAACTGATACCGAAAATAGGACCTTCCTCAAATAGTCAATACCATGTGCGAACTTGGTTGTAGGATGGAAGTATAAGGAAAGAGTACCCAGAGCCGGAAATCCAAGAAGGACGGTATACCCACGTTGTGCACGCTACGACAACAAACTTTGGTTCGAAACCATATACATACGTCATTGCGTTCAGATTACAACAGGATGGCATGATATTGAAGAACTTTAACCAAATGTTTACGAGGTTATTCTGAAATTTGGTAGAGGAAGCATTCGGGTCTAACCAGTTTTATTGTCACCCCCGCCAATGATATACCAACTGTCACCAATTGTAACTGCAGCATGTCCGGCTCGAGCAGATGGTATAGAGCCCTGTTGTTGAGGTTTCGACCACTCCATCTAAAATTCAGATATCATAGGTAATGAATGGCCGTATCTTGAAAAGTAGTTTGAAGAAACGAACGTCAAAAAAGAAATGGAAGAAATTTGACATCAACACTTATATCCACACGTGAAGAGGAAGACCATACAGATTCAAGATCTAGAACGTGAAGATCATTGAAACAGCTAGAGTGCGAGCCACCGCCAAAGACGAAGAGATAACGATCCTCATGAACCGTTGCAGCGTGATCAGAACGTGGAGATGGAGGGGTACCCCTGCACAGCCATCACGCATTTAGCTCAGATTAAAAAGTATGTATATACCACATCAGCATCATTATAATATTCCCGTCCGAACTGAGAAGAAAGACATCCCAGCTTACCCTGCGTCGATGGCGTCCCAAGTCATCGTCTCTAGGTCCAAAATATTTAAGTCATTGTACAGTCTTCGTTTTGAGTCTTCTCCTCCAAACATCACTAGGACGTTGCCTACTTTGGTCACTGATTGGCCTCCTCTGGCGACCTGCGGTACCCAAACATACACTCATTAGAGGTTCTAAATCACTCAATCTTGAAGCCGATTTCAAATTGCAATGATGGTGGCTGAACTTGGGATACATACTGGGGCCTGCCCATAGGATTCGAGATTCGACCACTGAAGCGATGTTGTATCGAATGAACGAACTGCCAAGAGCCAAAGAGGGTCAATCAGACATAGAAACTAAGAAAGGGCACATGTAATCACTTGCTGCACTTTAGTCGTATTCATTCTAGGAAGCTACAAATTGACAACGTCCTCCTACCTGTAACACTTTCAGAAAGCTCCTTTGAGTGACCTGCAACCATGAGAAGTTTTCCATCCAGCTGAACCTGAACATTCAAAGCGGAGAGAACGACATAAGCAACAGAGGAGTATCGACTTCACGACCAATCTGTCAACAGTCGCCTAGACCAACAACTAAATCATGTATCTCGCTGTAGTCTGCATTAGTAATAAGACATAGCCGGTGCAGGAGTTGAGCAATCATAATATTGCAAAACACACGTCTTTGAGAGTTGGACCTGTTCTATAACAAACGTCATCCCAGAAATGGAGTACAGGTTCTACAGCATGGGCCACGTCGCTAATGAAGTCGTGACGAGCTTCATAATCCTGGAGTGAAATTGCTTCGACTGAGCTTACTTGCAAGTTTCTTTCATGCGAGTAGCTTTAGGTGGTGTACTCCAAGCAGAGGCCTACCAGACTGAAAGAGTTCGAGTTTCTTTGACATGTTACACTGCTGGGAACCACTGGCAGCTACAGCCAGCGTCATCTTCTAGGTCAAAAATGTGCCATTGTAAAAAGAAGAATTTCAAATTTGTGCTTCCATCCTTGATCCCACCATTCTAAAAAGAATGGTATCGAAAAGCATCGATCTCACGAGCATTTGCGCCTTATGAAAGAGAAAAACACTGGTTGCAGTGACTTACCACACTGTGACCCGCACACGGGGGAAAAGTCGCTTGATTGGCTGATGGAGAAGAAGACATAGTCTTCTGTTCCACTTTCGACCACGTCATCGTACTCAAGTCTAGTACCTGTGACGTACATAAGCTGTAAATTACGTCACAGATTGCTAATTGCACGAAACACAAACTACTTCCTGCCTATTAAGAATGTTCTCGCATAACGGGTTCTAAATGCATTCGAATGATATAATGAAACTGACGGAACTTACCTGTACGTCATTCAGGTATCTTCCATTATGATTACCTCCGATGACGAACATCTTATTCCCAACAACAGCGGAAGAATGCTGCAAACACGAGCAGAGCGTAATAAGGACTAATGTTGAACCCCGACGGATATTTCTTGAAATAAAAGTACAATCTAAACAAATATCCCCATAGATTAAAATTTCGAGTCACACGACTTGGCTACTCCATACAAACACTCCTAGGAACCCAGGCACGTCGACAATTTATCTTCTCACAGTGGTGAGACATAATTTTAGCATATTGAGACCTCCTCAAGAGACTTCCAACATATTCATCAAATGTAGACTAAATTACCTGATAACGAGCGGCTGGACGGCGTCCATTAATATCTGGCGAGAACCACTGATCACGACTCTGCCCAGAGATCAAATCCTGTGGGACATTTTGCTCCTCATCCGCCTTACTTTCATGCCCATTCATAGGTACCGCTCCATTGGAAGAAACAGGTAAAGGAGTTTCGACTGGCAAGGTCATCTTGCTAGGTTCAATATTCTTCTCTCGCGCTTCTTCGACACTAGGTTCAGCTTTGGGTTCGACCTTAACTTCGACGGATGATGCCTGAGAAAAATCAAAATAGAAGCCAGATATAAACCTAAGAATTCCAAAATACATCTTCGATACACTGGATAAAATACGGATACTGAGATCCAACCCAGCATATCCTGGAAGGACAAAAATGGAACATTTGAATTAATGATACGTGACCACCTGAAGGTCTCAACACGCAAGGAGACAGAAGAACTCAGGGAAACATGGTACAAACGAATTAATTTCGAAAGCTTATCGAACTCGCTACCAGGGCTCGGAGAGAGTAAGGGAAATAGTATTCTTAGTCGGGCATATTTCACCCTTTGACTTTTCAAAATTCAGCTTAACTCACAGGTTGGCTGCTCTTGGCAATTTCTTCATCATGGGCTTTGGACCACCACTCTGGATCTTGGTCTTTCGAAGCACTTTTTTCATCCTGTGCCTTTGAGTACCAATCAGGCTCCTCTTGCTATCACAATTGCACATCCACAGGCAGAAGTCAACAGCAAATCGAAATTATACCATAGTAAATAGAAATAATACAAATAATACAAATTTAATGATAGAAATTTGGCCCACATATCCTTGCTATGCTGAAATGTAGAACAAGCACCCTTCAAGACACTTACTTCCAAAGTCTTCACAAACAACCTCATCGCCTCTGGTGAAGGCATTTTCGCCAGCTGGTTCCAACTGAAATGAAAACAAGAGAGTAGTTTGAATAAGTTACAGAATACTTCGATTCTCTTGTTGTATTCACTAGATAATGCTACAACTACAGATCGTAAGTGCAAATTGTAGGATGCATTAGAATATACTAATTCAGAAACATTTCAAAACGTATGGCATTACAGATATGCTCAAGAAAACACTAGCTCCTCTTTAATTATAAAGCATGGCACGTCCATCGCAAATGATCTAGAAACAGACCACTCATAAGAACTTGCTTCACGAACCAAGAAGAGTACAGGAATCTAGTTGTTCCCCAATCCTGTAATAAGGTCACATGGAGTATCCCTGACACCAATTCAAGCTTCAAGTTCTTTTCATGGAACTACAATGTGACTTTCGTGATAATATTTGATAGTCTTTTTAAGCCATCGGATATGAAACTAACGCCATAGACATCTTCCTTAAACCAGGATGTCGAAGTTTCAACTACAGATGGTAACAGAAAGGGAGGAAGATGAAAGATTTCACAGATGCCAGTAAAATTTTTTTAATTGATTAGTGAACTTCATAAACTGACAATATGAAAGCACGATTCGGGTGCGGTGCTCTTAATAGTTCCTGCTGTACCTGCTAGTGTTTAAAGAAAATTCAATCTCGGATGCTAAAAAGGCACGATAAGTTCAAATTGCACTCCTGACCATCTCTATCTCGAAACTGAATATATAAACTGGTCCACAGGTGTTAGCTTAACACGTTCTTGGAAGAGAAGGGCATGAAAATGACCTTGTCCATTTCGCATACTCAACAACATTCCAACTCCAAGGTTTCGCAATATTACAAGGTCCGACCGTGGCCTGTAATCAAATTCAGATTGTAAAAAAGGCGAGCTATTAATTAAAATCCGTTAGTTTTTGGCGGTTTTGATGTTAATTTGGATAGAGATCACATAAATCCCATGTAAGCTCTCGTCCACGAAACTGAACTGACTTTTGAACAAAATTAACATTAAAATGCAGACTTCTCATTGTGGATCAGATTGTTTTCCAAAATAATCATATGCCTACAATACCGCAAGCACGAATACAATGGAATCTAGTTGGAACTACTGTAAGTTAAGCTGCATACTAGAGTCTGACCTGTTGATAAAGAGAGTAGAGGAGAAGAGCCGTGTCATCATTAAATTTGATAGATGAAGACTTCAGCGCCAAAGGAGACGAATGTGCAAAACCTGCATATACTGCGGCAGCGTAGAAGCGATCAGGATAGGGAAGCGTCGAAGCTCCTGCCATACTCGCAATATGGGCAAGCACGCCCGTCCCAGCTTGCTGTGGCAGTATTTTCAGAGATTATTACACCGTAGAAACTCAGCGTCAAAACTCTCCCTTCAGGATCAGCGATCAAGTCAACTGCAGGTGCACGCCGGAAGCAAGATTCTTTCAGCTCGATCTCTTCATTGATCAAGATTCTCCGTCCCACACATGTTTCGTTCAAGCTCAATCGAATCCCGTGAACCAGATGCCCAGAAACTCTAACCCAAGAGTACAGATCGATCGTCTCCGCACTTGACGACCTCTACACAATGACGCCGGCTGCAATGCCCGTCCAATGCTCGCAAACCAGCACAACTCTTTGAAATTTTTTTCTTCTTGTAGCTGATATCAGGGTTGAAGCCCGGCCAGCCAAGCCAATTAGTCAATCCGTCCAGGGAAAAATTAAAATTCAAGGTTGACAAAACAGTGACCGACGACGACTGAGAGCTTCTTGTTTTCCAGCCTAGCTACAATAACAAGGTAGTGTCTCAGTGCGTGAGCCCGTCAGCCAATGAGTCCTTCGCGTGATGGATACCCGGCGACCCGCCCGACCGGAATGAATGCGCCCAGCCAAGCCAGACCACGCGCCGGACTCGATGATGAGAATTGCGCATATTACATCATCAATCCATCAACCAACCGACCAATGTGCCAACCCATCGATCCACCGAAGAAAAGATCGATCGATCGATGGATCGATCAATCAACCAATCCGCGCGCTCGCTTGCTCCTCCTCCTGCCGGAAAAGATGAATATATGCTCCCTGACTGCCGAGCGCAGCAAGACAAGAGAACAAATTGACACAAACTATTCCTGCTCGCTTGATCCGCTTTGCTCCCTGCCTGCCTGCGACCGACGGACGGGACGCCAGAGTTCGAGAGCCTTTCTTTCTCGCTCGCTCTCTCGCTCCAAAGCTGGAGCTGAGTTACGACGAAGGAAACAGACGAGTTCGACTTAGGAGCTTGATAGGCCGCAGTCTTACCGACAGAGACTGCCGTATGACCGGAAACGCCACCACCCGCGATCCGGTGCCACTCCGGCGCAATAATGCTCGAAGATCCTTCCTTCCGAAATTGAGGCGGTGAGCGAGGCCGGCCCTGCCAGCCACGAACATCCGCACCTCCCCTCACCTCACCTTCTCGTCCGCCATGTTCTTTTATAATCTTAATGATTTCCCCTTCTTTTCTATCGTCTCTGTTTAACGCACCGGCACTTTGATTCTCGTAGCGCGATTCTTTCACACAATCCTCGTGTATCGTTCTAATGATTCTCTACTCAAAGTCGTGACAGTTTGCTTCTTATCTATATGCCAAATACCACCAATACGGTATTTCAGCTAAACCCAACGTGCTTCATTTTCACCAACTGCGTAGCTTAAATGGTTGTGTTTGAGAATTTTGGAATCTCTATATCTAAGCACATAAATGTCTCCCAACATACCTACAATGGAGTTGATGGCTTTGTTACGATTAAAGTGGGACATTTTTAGTAAATGTGCTTACATAACAGCAGATACAACAATAGCACATTGTGGGATTAGCTACTGTAGTATATGGGGCTCAAAAAAATATTCTGAATTAGGATTCTTTGGGTTGCAGTTTTTGAAGCATGTCTGTGTAGTTAATAGGGAGATTAGCTATTGCGTTGAGCAGAAAATGGGATTGGTATTTTTTTCTGTGTCTTTTATGAAATGGTTGTGAGCAAAATGTCATTGTAAGTACAGTTTGTAAGTATAGTTTAGTGAACTTTGTTTTTGAGAAATGTGAATTCCTGTAATTGAATATATTGGATACTCTTGGAGTTGTATTTAGGCAACTTAGTCTTGTGATCTTCATTGATCGTCAAGATGGACTTGAATGTTTATTTGCACAAATTTACATGATGATGTAGATATATCAGTAGTCCATTTGAACAAGTGGTATTGCTGCTCAGTGATCATGGGTGCTATTTCGATGGCAACAAGACTACGCAGTAACTTCTTGTGTCTGGACGCCCATTTGTCTTCAATATGCTTGATGGGATTGCACAGAAGCAATTTTAGATCCAATTCTCATTCTCCTCACCCTCATCTTAAAGGTATGTGGGGTTGGTTTGTTATCGCAATTGCAACTCCTCCTTCCGAATTCTCAAAAGAGGTGGCTGCTGAGTGTATCAATTTGACTACAGGTAGTGATTTGCATAAGAGCTTTAGTAAAGTGTCTGCATAGAGATCAGATTTGCAGGAGCTGTGAAATTATCTATATAAATGAGCCAGGGTAGAACTGAATCTTACAAACAATTGTGGATATCTCAAAATCTTACCAAACTGTTGCTCTTTTTTATTGTGAATCTAACCAGGATTGCTGACCACAAGATTAAGGGTTTACATTAAAATTTTGCCATCGATAATTTCTCAGGGAACAATTTTACTATCTTGTGCCTGGTACACAAATCGGCTATTGTAATTCAGATTCCCATGCTAAGTCAATCTCTCTTTGTGAAGCATTTCTGAATTGATTTATCTCATGGGATTTTGTGTGACATGTGGCTGAACGCTTGGGATGCGATGTCCAAAATTAGTTAAAGATCACAAAACTTCCCCTATTCGACTTCGTTATATTCCTCCCACCAATGAGAACTTGTCAATCACAACCATTACCTTGAACAACTTTTTTCTCACATAACGATCAGGATTAAATGTTGGGCTTTCTTGCATTCGCCTTGGTGATAACAATTTGTGTTGTGATAGTTTTTGAAGTTGCGCCTCACTCAAGATCGTGACTCCAGCAAGTAGAGTTGCTCCATTGCTTCCTCGCTCCCTAACTCGACAGTTGGTTTCCACTTGTACATGGATTTCAAAAAGACGTGCTATTTCTCTCATAGCGGTGGGGTTACTCCAATACAATCTTTGTCGGCCTCGTTTTAACCTTCACCTTCTAGTGCTCTTAACAATTGTGTTTTAGGACACATTTTCATCAACACGCTTGCGCAAATTGGTTAACATGAAGTGCTTGAGTGAGCCTTAGCTGTTATAGTGAATATTTACGGTGAATTTATCAAATCTTCCCCTTTTTCCTCCCAATCAGGAGTTACCCCAGTAAACTGCATGCAACACAAACTGTAGCCATTTTTGGACAAAAACTGAACAAGACCCAGTGCAACTCCGACGTCAATGAGTATAACAAGCAGCGATATCCTTTCTCATCATCCAATTTCATGACGAACTCCTCAGTGTTCATTGGTGCAAAACCGCTACCTTCTCCTATAGCTACAAAAGTAGCCCTGTCTTCGGACTGGCCCGTTAAATCTATGTTCCACCAGGAAAAAACGATCAAAAAACGAACATTCAACACTCACACTGTATCCTTCAGTTCCTCGATGAAACCATAAAATTAAATTGGAACCCTTGGTCCTTCCTACCAACAGGTAACATTAAATTAATGGTGAAGGGATCAATGGCAGGAAGGACCAAGGGCTTCAACGGACAAAAGTAAAGTGCATTAACATGATCACATTTGAAAATTTTCTCAGGCACTAGAAATGCGCGGCTCGCTGGAGTAGACACAGAACTGGATTCTGGCACGTCAATTTCATGTAAACATTATCATAGTCGTACCAGAATTGGATTGACATCTGCTTGGTATTCAGCATAAATTAAATGAGATGCGCCACATCCGATTATATTTTACATTCGCTCTGCATGGAGTATTGCAAGTAATGCAATAAACGAGGAGAGGAAAAAGTGACTTCATCTCTCGCCGTTTGATCTCGATTATATTTCAATTATGTATTCCAAATGCATCACATACTACTCAGATCGTGTGACCCAATTCTTTAAATTGCAAACTAACCCACGCAAACTGCATGTGCCTCAGATTGAACAAGCCAATTTGAATAAGCAAATCCAAACTTACCAAAATGAATTCTCTTGCACTGAAGACCGAGTCTTAGGTGAAATCTGGAAAAGTTTTATTGAGCAAATACATACCGCATCCCTTTCTTTGGAAAATATAACTGATAATTTACGGAGACACAAACTGAACAAAGTTTACGAATCTCATAGCTTGTCCGGTACATGTCTTGTCTGGCAAATCGTAAAAGAATGTCGGTGGTAATTGCATTGGGTAAGAGAAAACCGCATACACGCTCACCCACCTGCACATGAGAAAGTCATGTTAGCAAACCTAAATTTCACACCTAGAATTTCACCCTGGATCTTAAAAAATTATCAGGTTCATAATTCAAAAGGACATGGCGTACACTATAATTGTCGTCTAGTGAAGGTTTTTGGCTCATGCCAGAATCAGAAACCCTCCATTTTCCCCATCGATCATTGTGGCCTTATTTTCGTGATGATCATCATCAAGGTTAAAAAATCACAGCATCCCATCCGTATTTATTCATGACGTTTCTATTCACACAGGAGAGAAAGGGATTAAGTGGAAAACAAGAGAAGAAGAAAAGAATTAGGTATCAAGGATATCTTCACTTTACAGAACTTGGCGGGTGTGATCTAAACCGATTACATGCAGTTATTGCGCACTTATGTTCAGAGGATCGCATCGAGTATTCATAGCTCCCGGATCAACAACCGCAGTCGTCAAAGGACCAGGAGAAAAATCCAATTACTTCGCTCGTAACGAAGAGATGTAGATTGATCAATCCGAGCTTCCAACAAGACATACCTGATGATCGAAGAACCCATCCATCACGGGACAGAACATTGCGACATGCCATGAAAATGGACTCCATGGAGCACAGAAGGCGTCACAAGCTCCATTTTGAGACAGAACCCGGCCGGTTCGTCTACTTGCGCTTGGGCTCCTTCTTCTGACGAGTATCGTGAGCCAAATAATAGGCAGTGAGAATCACACCGGGAAGCACAACGTACTCAGCAAAGCCCGAAAGTCGCGCTAATATGGGTTGTGCCATTCTGCCTGCTGTACTGATCGAGGAGTTATCAGCCGGCTGCGCAGTATCTCGATCAAAATTCCGAAACCCGATCTATTCACGAGCAGTGGAGAGTAAAGTCGAGTTCTGTTCTAGAATCTCTTCCGTTCTCACTTGTAGGCTCCTTCGTCTTGAGCCACTTTCCCATTCTCCCGACACTTGCGGAAGTCGCCAGGTCTATGTGTGCCCACTACCGGTCAAAGTATCACCGTTTCGTACTGGTTGACACCGTGACACCGTCAAGTGGCTAGCGGAAGGCTTCGAAAGACTGCCACTCTGTATAATAAACTCTACAGCGAAAACTTCAAGTTTAAGGTTCGGACAAAGGAGAGATGCTTTACACTCATATGCAGCACTGTTCCATGCAGGTCATATAATTTATGTATTTATTTATTTCAGAGAAAAATTACCAATGACGATGTAATTTGATGTCTGCCATTTTTATGGGGCTAGAGCGTGGACACCTCAACGAATAATCGTTTGAACGCGTTGCAGCAGGTTCAAATTAACCCCCACATAAACTTCATTTGTGAGTATCATTATGTTGACTTTGATTCTTCCATCCTAGCCAAGGGGATAGATTTGTAATCAACCTGTAATCTTTGCAAGTCTTATGTTGATTATGGAAGAAGTACACTATTCCAATACCAAGGTATATATTGTCCAAGAGTTTGTCATTATCGCTTTCACGTCCATAATTATGAGATATTGGCATGCCGGAAACGATGGCGACAAGTACATATTTTTTTCCCGTTCATACGAAAAATGGGGTTCAAAATACTTACACAAAATTTCTTTATCTCGATTGAGAAAAGTAAATCCCTTTGGAATAGTATACTTCTACAAGTGGTAATTGAATAGGTTACTTCTCCATAATCAACATAAGACTTGCAAAGAATACCGGTTGATTAGAAATCTATCCCCATGGCTAGATGGAAGAATCCAAGTAAACACACTGATACTCCAAGGAGTATCAACATCAACTAGCTTGGAGTTGCTTAAAAAGTCTTGATCGCTCAAAAATGGAGCTAGATGTATTCTTCAAACAGACTAGAACCTTTGTAGATGTTTGCAGTTTCTAAACTTTGAAGAATCATCCGGCCAATGCGAGAAGAATCAACAATTTACCATTATGCATTGAAGTTCAAAAAAAATAGTGAGAAGATATGAATGATTCATGATCAAAACTCTTCAAATATGGCATTGGGCGAGGCTCGTGCCAAATTTTTTATAAATAATATTTGTGTGATGATATAAATAAAATCGAAAGTCCGAGTCGGCTGCCGGTCTTGTCCGTTGCCGTTGAGCAAACAACAACTTTTCAGCATATGAAAATAGTGATTCAGCCATAGATAAGATTGGATATCCAAGTCCGCGTTTGCTCTTGTCTGTTGCTGAAGAGTTGCTGATGTTCAATCTTTTTTGCTATTAAAGAATTGATGTTGATAACATGTTATCAAAGAAGCGCAAAATGACATTTATTTTCACTCACAAATTTGAGTATGGGCTAAAAATCTTGACGCGGGAACCATTGTATGATGTCGTTACATCAGTTTTGTGGCTTTTGACAATTATGAGGCCGTGAAAAAAAACTCAAACAGATCGCAAGCATACTAGGCCCACGAAGTACTTTAAGGTTTCATATCAATCAGATTTGTACTCATAGCATCTCAAAATCCAACACTTGGCGAAGTGAAGTGAGTATTGTGCTCCATCAATAGAAGTCAAGCAAACATTTTGCAAAGTTGAGTGAATATCGTGCTCCGTCAATAGACTTATTTGATGAGACTACTTTAGTGATTACTATACATGCTCGTTTTGTTGTATCAAGTGATCAGCTGTATTTGGATATCAATGTAAACATTGTTCATACAATTTCACACACATCTCTATTTGATTCCAAAGTTGAAGATATTTCTATTGAACGAAATGTTGAAACTCCTCAAGCCGATTTAATTTGATATTGTGAGTGTATGTTAATAAGTTCATATCAAGAACTTATTAACTTGTTATTGGAATGATTGATCTTGACTCGTCGTTGAGATTAATAGATTTAAATCCTATAACAAATTATGTGAATGTTTTTGTTCTTCTTCCATACTCTAAGCTGACAATTATCGTTATTTAAAACTTCAAGAAATGTGAAACTTGAGCTTAATAGAACGACGAGTGGAATATGCATGCCAAAAACTATTTCTTGATTATCTTGGCTGATGCAATGATATCAAAGTATCATAGTATGTTCGGAATGATGCCGCCTTTTACCTTCAAAAACTCAGCAAAATACTCATTAGTTGCGGGTACTTTTCTATTTCGTTCGATTCATCAACTGTTGAAAGCATCGCGTACTTTGACATTATGCTGTATTGTTTCAATTTATGTTGTCTTTTTTTTTCAAACAAAACAATGGAGACAAATGTTGGAGATGTTCGAGAAGCCTACATATGCAATTGTTTGTCTTGGGAATATACACTCTTATCAACATGCTCTAATGATGTCAAGAATATGACAGAGCTAGTACTTGGAATAGTGACTTGAGTTTCCGATTGAATTAAACAAGAAAAATGCTATTTGATTCGATTTCTATGTGATGCACACAAAATTGATCATGTGATTCAAGTAGTTATTTTTGTATATTTCAACAAAGAATTTTATTGGACGGTAATTGTTGCCATTGGATATTTGTGTCGATAACACAACTTGATAAAAAAATGTGATCCAAATGTCCAAAGTTTGCTACGATCAGTTAGTTATTGTTGGAAAAAGTGTTGACTTGATTTTCAACTCATCATTGTCTTCTTGTTAAATACATAAATCAATGAATTATGATTTCAAATCTATTATTATCTAGTGAATTACTTCATTTTCACTGATCTTAATTGTTATAGAGATTGATAATTTCTTCAATCTATATTGCTAATAACACAATATTAAACCGACTTTTCAAGATTCATCTCTTGTCTTCGAAATGTGTCAGTATTGCAAGTTACACTATACGAATTGCAAATACCAAAAAAAGATGAAGACATCTAGTGTTGGAACAATTTTTGTAGTATTTACATGTTGTTGTCATTTTGTTTGAGGTTGTAGTTTGTTTATTGCAATATCATTTGATAATTTGTCTGATGTTGAAAAGATTGTTGTGGTTTTTCTTTTTGAAACCTAGGCGTTAGTTAGACAGCAAGAATCCCTGAAAGGGATGATGACAATGCACCAGCAGCGTTTGTACCCAAAGTATTCCTTGCAAATTTGCGACCATGCTTGCATCAAGCTTTGTGGCACTCATCATTAGATTTTGATCTCAACTTGAAAAGACAAAAGTACATTGACATACTATAACGAGAACAAAAACAAATACAAACACCTTATGAAAAAAAGATGTACTTCGCAAAACAATGTATCAAATGCCAAAATTGATTGATTGGTAATTCAAAACTAAACGCTAAATTTGAGATCATGCACAACACACAAAGAAAACAAAGAGATCACAAAGCCATCCGCTCCACTGCAAGCGTAATAGATTTTGATGCGTCGGCATCGATATTTGTAAATATACATTAGTATTCTAAAACTAAATGCTAAACCTGAGGCCATGCACATCACGCAACATCGATATTTGTAAATATACATTAGTATTCCAAAACTAAATGCTAAACCTGAAGCCATGCACATCCCGCAAAGAGAACGAAGAGAACTCACAGCCATCAGCTCAACTACAAGCGGAAAAAAAATCGTCGCTCCCGCAGTACAAGCCCCCAAAAAATGCCAGCTTAACTCATATGTGTCCATGAATCTGATTTCATGCTGAACTCCCATCTTACGCATATCTTGCTCATCTGACATGGTATAAATCAATGAAGCTGCACTCAAGAATAGATGTGTTTTGAAGCAAGCGTAATTCATTACTTGAAATATACATAAAGATAGGGTGGAAGTAAATGGACCGAAATCAAATATCAAAATCCATCAATTTTCATGAAGCATTAAGTACTTTTGAACCTTTTTGCCAAACTATTTACGATTGCTGGAAGATATGCTGGTGTATATTCAGGTAATACGCATGTGGACAGCGAATTCTCTGTGATAAATTGGGAGAAAGATGAATACAAATAGTACTTAATAGATATGTCATTTGAGTAAATCAAGCATTATAAGAAATTCAAGCAATTTAAAACTGTGATCATATTTGTATTACACAAAAATCAACTGATGACATAATTAATTGATTTATGAAAAAATTGGCAATTTTCAAGTTAACAGAGATCTATTAACCATGCATAAAGATGTCCAAAATTTTATGCAAATGTGTGATGCATGTTAACTGATATGTTGATCTAGCAAAGAATATGTTGGATTTTATAATCAATTGTTACATACATACCTTTTAATAAATGGACAATTAATTGTGTGATGTCAATCCCACCACCATTCAAAAGAATTAGAAAGTTATATATTTTGGTAATGTATCATGTGGCTACCTCAAAATGATGGTGTGAGTAGTTTCCAATAGAAAAGATGGTTTGAAATCATTAATATATGAATCTCCAACAGTAGAATATATGATTTTTTTGTCCGTCTGGTTAGATGAATTAATTCTTGAACGACTCTTATTCTAAGATCAAGCGATGTAATTTTTATGCATATGATTTCTTACAAAAATTTGAACAATATGGTAAAACATAATAAAAATTGACGTATTAAAATACTCATTGTTATTAAAAAAATATTAAATATTTAGATTTAAATTGATGTAAATTTCAATGTATATTTTCATGTCATATCCATTCAAACTACAAAATTTTCAATCTTGCATCATATTTTATGTGCTATAAGATGCAATCACTTTGAAACTCATCATGATTTTGATAATTCAAACAATAAATGTGTTTTTCGTCTTCAAAAACTTAAATCATCTTTGATTCATATCACATATTTCATTTTGACATAATAATATCTTGGATATGTCATTGATATTTTCATATGATTATCTAGAAATGATAATCATATGAAAATAGACAATTTTAGTTTTAATTATTGTAACGTTTGTTAAAATACTATGTTATTGACATACTTTTCATTTTCAGATATATAAAATAAATTATATCCGAAGTACAATTTGTTCATTTAGTAAAGAGTGACTAACATATGATAAAACCACAAATTGACAGTTGAATCAAGATACAATCAACTTAATCTGGTAATATCTTTATTGATATGATATTCAGTAACATTCTCCAAAAACGATAATTTTATGTTGATAAAAAAATCCTTAAAATATCTATCTAAGTTATACATATCAGCAGAAGAAAACTGAAAGTGGAGTAATTTATGAACTTCCGATTTGAAAGAGAACACGGTGGGAGTCCGGTGGGATGATGTCGTTGATGTTTTGCTACGCAGAACCCGGCCTTTGTGAGTTAGAAGTAAAATTAGTTGCTGCACCAGCTCATTCACTCGTGTGACATACTGAGTTTCAAGGTGTGCTATCATATAAATAGTAAATGGATAGGATCTAGGATAATAGGATCTCCCCATCAACTTCTTCAACACATCCGAACACACAAAGTCCCACTGCCATGCTAGAATTGCGCCGCCAAGTTTCTTCTAAACGCTGCAGCTCTTCGTCGTCCATGATGACTTTGGCATCAAAGGTACAATCAATCCTCACAGTGTACTGTCTAGGAGAGTTAATCAAATTGCCTCTCGCGCTCACGCTCACGCTCGAATCTGCACTTACTTCTTTACCGTACAGTCCTAATTTGTCAGTTGTTTACCAACTCTCTTCTCCAATATGGCTCGCAAAATTTGTATTTCCACATTTGAAAAAGCTCCTGCTTCAACTCCGTAAATTTAAAACTGATCCTCTTATGTGTAATTATCTGCCTTAAAAGACATCACATGATCTATCCTATTCAGAAAACAGAAGAAATTCGACGTTCATGATTTATTTGGTGAGAATAATTTCAGGATGTGAAACGGAACCAGGAAGGTTAACAGCTTTTCTTACAATCCAATCAAACTGGTCAGTAGGTTGCATAGCTTTTACCACACCTCGGATCAAGCTATCTTTTTGAAAGCAAGTTGATAGCAAGCTTCTGGGAACCAGTCTCTCCATTTGGTTTTGTACCCTCATACTTCCAGCATAACTTCGCGGAAAATTTTCAGTGCACAGCAATCATGTATGCAAAGTGTAGACTCAACCAGCAAGTGAGAACGTGGTGAGGTCCGGTAGAGCTTGTCGCTGTCCACATAGTTATAGATACACGTGATGCAAGGAAACAATGGACTACATGGATTGGCCGAAATGCCAGTGATAATAGGAAAAGCAGACTCTGAGACTATAAAAACAGGCATAAAGAGTTCCAGGTCCCGAGCGATCGTTGTGAAATCAAGCACGTCCACGACAGTAGTTGGAGAATCGGTTTACTTCTAGTTTTAGCTCTATCTGAAACTGACGGTGGAGAACAAGGTCCAGTACGGCTTTCCGGCCCGGACCAGCGTCCAAAGACGTGTCTATGAGACACAGACGTTGACAGGAAAGGTTACACAGACGTTGAGCAGTACAAAGAATCGAACAGTAGATACCTTTTGGTGAGGTGGAGAGGGGATTCCTATGGTCCTGCAGAATTGTGGCTTCGTTCGTGGTCACACTATGAGACTGTGTTAAGACCAAGTTCTTGAGAACCCAATTTCTTAAAAGTCTTGCCACTCACTCCACTTCTCTCAATGATTATTTGCACTGTAGTCACATCCAAAGGTCAGATCGCTTGATTGAGAAAAGCTGTATTTGGGACTTTAATATTCCGGTAAAAATCGGTCTATGACATTATTGACTAGACGGAACATCCACAGTACTCAGTGTCGACACTACTGGCTCTCCTCGCTCTAAACATACTTGAAACTTCATCCATCTGACGCTTAATATATTTCGAAACAGTGCTATGGCAGCTGTTCATGTGGTGATCCGCTTGGTTGACAATCTAAGGTTACAAGTTGCTAATCGAACGGTGATCATAAAACGTAGCAGCAGTGAAGACCACTTGAGAATGAATGAATTCCAAACTAGGGTCATTCTTGGACTTCATTCGGTGCAAAATTTGTTCCACCCCGACTTCGGCAGGAGGAGGTGCACTGCAACTAGAAACTTTGACAGGAAAGAATGAAAGTAATGAAGGAAGGTGAGGGAGTTTACGCTAAGTACAGCCGTAGGTGAATGCTAAGGATGTTGAAGGTAGAGGTCATGTACCACTCTTCAACCAGTCCACAATGATAACGGAGATCTGCCTGCGTCTAAAGAATTATCTACCTCATAACGATGCCCTGCATCAGTGAGATACTGGAAGCTTTATTGATCGCCCGTTCACAGGTATTCAACTTGGATCGGACGAACTACACAACGAGAGTAGAAGGTTGCTGCGGATGCGCAGGTAATTCTATCTTGTCCGATTGTATCCTTCGGCTGAGCTGATAAAATGGAGACTCTGGATTCTCCTCCTCGGCCACCAGCTCGGGATGGCGAGAGTCTGAGTTTTCTATACATGTTTCGTCCGAGACGGACGCAGATTCTCGCTTTTCCACAATATTCAAAAGGCATATCAAGACGATGGTTATAACTACAGTTAGAGAGGTTCCTGTGATTATGTACGCTAAATAACTCCTACACGTGAAAGTGGAGATGATTTTTTCTCCGCCATCCAAGTGGTAAACGCACGGACTTTGCTGTATAATGGCGCTCACACAAATGGGAATAATATCCAAGAGCAAGTTCAGGCCTACTGTAAGTCCAAGGTGGCGCCCCATGCCATTCTTGCAGCTACCTTGATCGACGACATGTCTGTAACCATCCACAACAGGATACAGAGGCCCCAGAGTGAAGTTCACATAGCCAGCAACCACGGCGTGCAGCTGCCCTGACAGTGAGAGCAGTTTTCGGGCTGGAGCCACGCAGATCATTCCGATAACGTATGATCCAGGAAATAACCACAAAGGAAGATACGCCATAAACCCTATATTAAAGTACTTCATCCAGTAATTCATAACTGCCGCTATGGTACTCATTCGTAGAAGCAGCGCCCCTGCTGTGTAGATGCCTGTTCCACGGATTACCATAACTGTCTGAGCTTCGAGCAGATTGAAATACAGTTCAAAGTCAAGAAGAAAGGCCTAAGTGCAAAGAGCAAACTGGTAGATAAACTGATTATTGGTCTTTCAAGTGTCCAATACAGATGTGGGTGAAATCCATGAGTGGGTGCTGATCAAGATAGTCTGGGTCTATATCCAAAAAGCAGTTGAGGGAGGGAAGACCACGTCTAAATGATGACCCTGAAGTCTGAGAATCTGAGAAGATTACCTGCTAAAAGGCCCACGTTATTTAGAGTTACGGTCCATCTCCTGCTCAACTTGAACATGACGGCCCTGCCAGTGTTGTAAGATGCAGAGAGGAAGGATGCGATGAGCGACAGCAGCAGAGTAAGAGGCACATTCCGTGACTTCACTCTTCGGCTCACCACAACAATGACGAGAAATTGCAGGGCCGCTTGTGGACCGGTCTCAATTGCAGCTGCCACCATCGAGTAAAGCGCCTCCGTCTCGAAATCCAAAGGTTCACAGGGTGCTGAATTTCTACATCGACAGAAAAACAACATCATTGTCCAGCGTACACCTACCCATATTCTTGCTCGCATCAAAGTTGATTTTACCTCCAAAAGACTCCAAAAGTTCACCAGACTTATCTTAAGGGCTCAACACAAATGCACGTTGCTGGGCATCTTTCTCTTCGAATTTCATCTATCGATTTTGGAATTCTTCGAAATTTATATTGGAACATTTGATCGTGTAAGATGTACTTCCTTCGGAAGATTTCTGTCATTGAGACCCTAGAAAGCAAAGCGTTCGGTAGTCTATATCGAACGAAAACGAACAAAATCTAGACTGCAGGCTTGTTCGAGGAAGCTCTAATTTATAATACTGGGTGATGAGACCTGTGGCATTACAGCATGAGAGCCAGGGAACTGCCAAAGGAAAGGAGGTTGCAGGAAATTCACAGAATGATGATTTCTTTTGCAAATCACATACCTTTGACACGAACCCGTTTTTATGACTCCCTGGACGAACCTGCGAAACTGTACGAGCGGAAGGAAATACGCAGACAGAAGGGGGTTCCGTTCGCGGGGGAGCTTCAGCTTGAATGCTATGACGGTGCCAATATGTCCTGCCACCATCAAGAATAAGCACATTGCGAAAGGTCTGGACGAAAAGCTACCCTCATTAGAATCGATGTAACTGTGCCATTTCTGTTGCTTGTAGTAGTCCCAGTATTCCTTCAGTACCAGGATGTTACTGATAAAATCGAATAGATACAAGCCTGCTGCGATCGTCGTCGACGCAGGCGAGAAGAGAACACCGACCTTCCACACGCGCAGTGCATTTTCTGCCTCACTCCTTCCCTGATCCTCTAACGATATATTTTCATTCCTGACTTCTACCACCGTCACTGCCGGCCCCAGAGCCTCATTGTTCCTGTCGTTCTCCTTCGGTTCCGTCATCCCATCAGAGCGTTGCCAGCCTTGGATCCCAGCACAGGCCCATCAGGGGAGCTGCTCGCCGCATTGGAAGTTTACCAGATCCCCTCCAAATGCAAAGCTTGCTGGAAACCTGTCAGAGTAACATGTGAGTGGAGGTTCTCAATCGTGAGAGCTACTGGAGGAAGGCCAGTTATTTTCTCGGCCCGAGACTGATACAATCCGCTGCAGCAATGTCACACCACAACTTGTGTTTATTGACTTGAGTTGATAGTTCCTAGGTGCCAAAAGAACGACTGTCAGCCATCAGGAAAGACGACCATGGCATCCAAGTCGGATCCAGATCCAAAGCTGCAATACAATTGGAATCAGAGCACCAGGAAAATTTTGGTGTTGGAAGGACATTAACTGACTGGGATAACAGTCTGAACTGCAACCTCGGGTGCCCGGAGGAACATTGGCGTCATGCAGAAGTGACTGCAGAGACCAATCCCCGAGCTCGAAGAGGACTCAAAGAGCATTCCTCTGTGTACGAGGCAAGGAACCCTGGCCATTCCTGGAAAGAACCGAACGACTGACTTGACAGGGAAGTCCACGGGCAGCAAAAAGATAATGGCGCCACAATGGCAGATTCATTTGTACAGATTTAGCCAGCTACACCAGTCAAAGTAGCCTCCATGTTTCTGAGAATGCTAGTTGACGTGAAGCGTCACAGTAACTCAGTACGGTCATGATGTGACGAGATGCTCTCGGTTTTTACTATTTGTCATCCAGCAGACTGACATGGCATCCTTGCTCATGAGTGCAAAGCCCACGAGGACATTCACACAGCAGAGTGTGCCGAGGTCTCGGTCTGAGAATCGGGCTTGTGAAGTCCGGAACAGTGAAAGGCAGCAGTACCTGGAGGCAGTGGAAGGAAAATAGAGAAGGCTATTAAAAAAACTTCAAGATACCCTGACTATGAGGAGATTCCCGATCAGTGAAATCAAGAGAAAAGATGCTGGTAAGAAGTTAAGATCCCTCGGAAATAGTTTGGAAATAGTTTTCAACCAGCAATTGACGCGTCTCGGTTTCACCTCTCTAACTGCGTCATTGCCCCAAGCGCAAAGATCCTCGACTCGGGACCTGCAAGTCTGATTTGCGTACAGTTCTTGGGCACTTCATCGAAACTGAGCAAGGCCCTAGATTTCCTCCATGGAATCTTAGGATTCTCCAGATCTATGGTCTGCGTGGATTTGGAAAATCTTCATGAACGCTTCCCGGCAAGAACCGATGGAATCCGGTGACTCAGGAGTCTGCAGTCCGGACCATAATCCTCTTTTCGTTGTTGAAGCTTCGCGTTTCCTTTCCCTGTTGACTTTCAATTAGATCCTGTAGTTTGACGTAATGTATCTTATGATTCACAAGTTATGAACCACAAAATCCTTCAACGAACTACTGAAACCAATCAACTCACTGCCGATATAGGAGCCCTACTGCTACTATATGGGCAATAGGCGTCACCTTCGGGTCAACCTACTGCATAGCCCCGAGACCTCAATGTCTCTCTGACACCACTGGTTATTACTGTGCTTCGCGACTAATGTCCTCAACTTCTGAGGCTGAGAGCACAAACTTTGTGAGACCTCCAGTATGCAATCAATCGTTCCGTATCATGCCTTCGCAGAAACTCCCATGTTGGGCAGTGTCCAGTTTATTCTCAACTTCTCATTGCCTTGTAGATGAGTTTATGCTGGTTGAGTGTATGTTGGAATACTTACGTTTCGGGCTGAAACCGGGTACAAGGGTATGTTAATCGAGGAGGAAAAAAGATCAATTTACTACAATAATATTATATGTTGAATCTTCACAGGAAAGTCAACCATGAATATTCAGGGGTGGGTGGGTTTCACATATGGAAGCCCATTTCACAGTAAAGTCAACCATGAATATTCAGGGGTGGGTGGTTTCCCATATGGAACCCCATCTCTCATTGCGGATTAAACCCGTAAGGAACTGTCGTAAATATTGAAACAAATTTATTGCTTCACTTGGTGAAAGTGAAGTTCAACTTTCAAGATTTGAATATACAGCACCGTGAATTTATGTATTGATAAGAGTTCGCCGGTCTAAAGATGAAACAAAGATTGCCCAATCATTTTGCTCTGAATTGATTATAATTAAAACCACCAATCATACACCCAGGTCTTTGTGCATTTACATGTGCATCCTTGCACTCTTTGAGACAAATGTCATGTTCCACAAGAATATAAAGCAAATAAAGACGTCTTAAAAAAAGTTATCTTTATTTCATACTTTTTAAAACGTTTTAAATGAGTATGTTTATTTTTTCAAATAAAAAATGGATGCACCCATACTTACATGCATCTAGTAACATTTTAATTAACCCAACAAGTTCTTAAGCAGCATACTTTTTTGCAACCATTAAATATACGTTAAAATTTTCTTCACGTCCTTTTACTATGTTTCAGTCTATCAAATTTTGAAAAAAAAAATATTTATAATATTGTGACTTGATTGATTCTTAGTCATTACTATATGATGGAGTGAAGGTGAGAAGAATGTAATCATTCTTTTAACCTTCTAATCTTATATTTTTGTGAATAGAAACACATCCATGCAATAACTTTGAGCTTATTCATTAACCTAACTTGTTTTGGCCATAATCTTGAAATGAACGAGGGATGAACAAAAGTATGAGTTGAAATAATCGGAGGGTTTTTTTTTTTACAGAAAAAGAGTAATAAGAAGAAATTTTTAATTTTTCACAACAAGTTATTTAAAAACTTTTTTTAAAGCAATAAATATGAGATCAATTTAATAAAAAACTATTTGATCCAAAGAAATTCACAAACTTCTGATCGTTATTGACTTTATGCTTCATAAGCACGAGCAAGGCGGAAAATATGACTGATTTATTGGAAAGATACTTTTGATGAATTGAAAAAAAAATTAATATATTCTGTGCAAGTAATGGTAATAAAATTAAGAAACTCTGAACAAAGTTTTTATAATTTCAAGCATTTTCTGTTCTAAAGGGAAACAAAACTGATCAAAATAATTATTAAAGGTCATACTGGTTCGTCGAAGTTTAGATATACACCCTAAGTAGTTCAATTCAAACTTCAAATCTATAAAAAAATCTTTAAAACTTCAATTACACAAATTAATTATTCATCTCATGTATGAATGATACGGATATGTAAAGACAAAAAAACTATCTTTAGAAATAATAAAGATAGTTCTTTATATCTAATAACACTAATTTAATAACCATAATCAACTTACTAGATAAACTGAATTATATTCCAAGAATAAGTTGAAACACTCAAGCCAAAGATCTACGAATTAGGGCAGTAACATGTTAGGTAAGCTTAAATTAATTTGATATCAAAACATTTTATGAAAATATAAATTTATTTGTATACAAATCCTTGTAATTATTAGTTTAGAGCGAAAATTGATTCTATCCATTATTGAATAGCAAAAGTGTATTGATATGTGTGACTCCAAATCAAGTTATACCTTTTGATAATTCTAAAAACTTTATATTACAAGTTGCACCCAAACCATTGCTTATATCACTGCTATCATGTTTTGCAACCTATGTCTAATCACTACAACAACTGTTAAATATGGAGTAACAAAACAAATCAATGCAATCCACAATAATCTTCTACAAGACAAAAAATTGTGCAAATAAGAATAATTAAGGTTTTAGGCAAAAAAAATGAAATGAAAATGATCTACAGTTAACTTTTTCATAAAATAGAAATATTTGCTTGTAGATTAATCAACATCATTTGTATAAGCATAATTTACAACCAAAAAAATATGAAGCCAAAGATTTTATAAGATTTTAAAACATTTATGACTCATGAAAATCTTAAAATTGAATTGATGAAATTATTGAAATCAACTTATAGAACGTTCAAAAATATTATTTGATTTCAGTTTTATTCCAAGAAATTACTCATCATTATATAAAAGACATAATTGAAACAACTTTGGAATTGTCTCATGTTTTTGAAAAATAATTTATTCTTCAATAAATTTTTGTAAAACTTGCTCTTATTGTTAGATCTAGAAGAAAAAACAAGAAAGCAGCACTAAGCACTAAAGAAATCATGATCAAGCTAAAGAATCACTTCTTTTTTCAAACATCATTCAATCAACATTTTTGAAAGTCAAAGTACACAATAATTATATTTTTAATATAGAAAATCAATGTTATTTCAGAACAAAATTCGAGTTAAAGAAATCAACAATAAGCTTGTATTTCATAATTTTATTTCTAATTATTTCAATAATTAATTACAAATTTAAAATTTCAATAATTTATGATAACATTTTTTTAATAGTAATTTATCTTTCTTTTATATTATTATCAACATTCACATCATTTAAAAATCAAGATGTTTTATTTTGTTATAAATTAAAATGCAACTTCAACTTAGTTATTTTTTTAGATGTGATTAATCATAATCATTTTTTTTCTCAAGATTTAATATAAATCAAAATAATATATTTTTCAGAACAATTTTAAATGTGAACAAACTGTGCTCTTAAAATTTGATTTTGTATAAATTTAATGTTTTTTTATGTTTTACAATATATGATCCAATTTTTAAACAACAATTTTATTGATATCATATAAATTGTAAATAGTAAGAAACTTTGATTTTAGAATATAAATAAATTATTTTAGTATTTTATAAGCATTGTAGTATGAAAAAATGCATTCTTTTTAGCATTTGTGAATATTAGCATTGCATTAACGCAAATTATGCAAATTTATTGATGAATAAATTTAAATTTAATTTGAAAACTTATGTATATATTTTCAAATAATTTTTTTACCTTTTTATATATGAGATTCCTTTGTATTATCTTGTGCATATTATGTTATACAAATTGAAATTTTGTGAGTAAAAATCTATATGGTAAATGGATTATGTTAAAAAATTTGTGTTGTATATCTAATCAATACAATAGTATGAAAGGTTTGCAAAATTTATAGATAAATATGAAAGATTTGTCACTTTCAATATATAGAAATTTTATGTATAAAATTTTAAAATAGTGAATTTAGTGTAAAAATATATCCACACACTATACTATGTACATACTCAATGTGAATTTCAACACCAAAATCTTGTCTATGATGCTTGCCCATATTACATTTTGATTTTAGAGTTGTGCAAAGTTCTAAAGCAATTTTAACTATGACAAATAACATTCTATTTCTTTTTTTAAGAGTGACATATACACATTACTCATGTGTTTTAGTCTAGAATGTAATATGTGAGACATTTCAACTCAAAATTTACTAAAATTTATATTTGAATTAGTAAAATTTGTTCAATGTACATTGGATGCCATTAAAAATTTGAATCCAAAGATATCCAATATACTCAGTCCTACAAGGTTCATAATTTTGCATAAAATGTAAACTGCTTGATAACAAAGAGGTAAAAAAAGCTTTTGAATGTAAAAGATGTGACAAAAACAAGCATTATCAAAAATTTACACATCATCAACATATTTTAATGCATTGCATAGTACACATCTTTTGCATCATAATTCATTATCTAGCAAGTCGTTGTACTCATAATCAAACTATTCAGTCACATTGGTTAACAAAGAATCTACAACTCTGATCTTCACACAATAATACTTCTTGACGAATCAACTGTTGGTATGTAGAATTTGGTAGCATAGTATCTTAAGTTTTTTCATTGTATAATTATTCTATCATGTGATGGCTACAAGCTAGTTATAGTTAATTTTTGTGTAAAGAGGTGTCTTGTAGGTTTCTTTCTACTACTTCTTGTGGAATAATTATACAAGTTATGAAATTTATGTTTACTCTATACTAATAGCTTATTAGTTAATTTTTTATGTTGTTATTCTATTCTGTTATGGTTCCAGCTTAATTTTATTTAGTAATTGTATCAAAAATGTCATTGTGTTAGTTTTGTTTCTAGAACCTCGCAGGTAGTAATAATATAGGTTATAAATATTATTATTTCTTTTACAAAAATTAATGGGAAGATTGTTGATATTAAATTCAATTAAATAATAACCTTGGGTTCTAGCTAAAAATAGATATGACAATCAACTGGATTGGGGGCTAAATACACCAAGGCTTTTGCACTTTACAAATACTTTTCAATTACCCCAAAAAAATCTCGCTCCTGTTCATGTCGTGGACATAGCCCATTCCCTCCAAAAGAGTGAATCATATTGTATGTCGTCTAATCTCTGGTATCACTTGATTTAATGTTATGTTGATTTTTGGTAAATTATCCTTATAGAAGTATCAAATTCACATGGAAGCACAAAAATAATTGAAAACACAAGATTACACGCAAAAAGTACCGTGAAAGTAGTTACTCAACTACTTTCATTGAATACAAGTTTTACTATTAATGTTCACAGCGGCAAGCTAGATCTTGCTTTACTTAATGTTTACAATCTAATACTAAAATAGTTGACACGAAGAAGCCAAATCATTTAAGTGAAAACGGAATCAAGTTAACGCCTAACTATATATATATATATATCCACAAAGACTCGTGGAAATAAAGATTGATACTAAGTTACCATCAATCTCAACAAAAAATAAAATTAACAAAGAACATGATCTATACTTCGATAATATCTGATTAACTATCCAAGATATTCTGATAGTTGATTAATGAATAGATTCAATATAATTATCCAGGTAACAAAATATAACTTAGATTGGATTTGATGAAGTATCACACATGCTAATGAGAAGTGTTAGGGGAAAATCAACCTCAAATTATGATGAACGTATAATAAATTGGAATCCCAATAGTCCAAATTAGGGTAAAGAGTATTTGAACTGCATTTGAACTTCAGTATTTGATGGATGATATTATACAACTGATGGATGTTTATTTGATGGATGATATTAAGATTTTTGATCATTAGTAGTGTACTCCTTCGAGATTTGATCATTGTCCATTACTATTGGGCGTGACTTCATTATGGTAGTCACTCTATGAATTGTTGGGCTCGATCGCTTCCTTTGGCGGGAGAAAGTAAAATTACTTATGTATTCGGGCTTGAAGCTTGTGATGAACTTTGATCTCCACTTCAGTTCATAGCTGATCAATTTACAGTCACCTTCCGACGACTTTTACTCGTGCTGGTTAGAAAAGTTGCCTATCTGTAGTCCTGTGGTGATGATTACCATTCTGATTAGGTGGGTACAATTGCACGTAAAACAACCACAGTTATTCTTTACGAATCAGATCCACACAGGTCACGTTGCTTCTGTCATTGGCGGAATGGACGAAACTCATGCTAACGACAGATACTTACATGTTCCTTTATCTGTATTCACCGGTGGGAGGTAATTGTTTATTTAAGAATCTTGGTGAGAATAATCATGCTAGTGTGTAAAATGTACAGTCAAAGTCGTCTTTTGTTCAGGTTGAAGAGATAAATATCTTTCCTTCGGCCATGGTCGAAATTCACCAGCAAATAGAAAACTTAAATGACTGATTACAACCTTCGAGCCTACAGTTTTTCGTCGGGTTTGAATTTTTTTCGCGGCGTCCATTGCAACAACTTTGAGTATCGCCTCATGGAGTAGATTACATACAGTCGTTTTATCAAACTTCGAGAGTCAAGAAGATTCTTGACCACTTTAGCTTTTAAGTTTTCCAGGAGCATGCATGAGTTTTCAATAGCCAGAAATACACGCAGAGGATCATTCGAGCCCCACATTGCTCAGCACATCTGAATTTGCGCAAAACTTGCGCGAATTCAACTAAACACCTCTAACTGTTTATAATGATTTCCACTCAAGGCACAGCATCTGATTCTAACGTTGGATTTAAGATTCTAGTGTCAACTGAACGGAACCTTGCCATCTCAGATTATGATAACAAATATGATATGATTCTTTTGCTCCTCCCACAAACAATCATTAAAGGCAAGTTAAAAAGAAACAAACCTATTTGACGGGCCTTGCACGTTTGAAGGGGTATGCAATAATTGTCTTTCCCTCTCAAACAGTATAATCGCAGTCATCTTCCGTGGAGATGCTACTTGTCCCATTTATTCAGGAAGGCCATTTCAGGTTTCTCAAGCTGTCAACATTCTCTCCAACCTCATGTTTTGTATGTTTAATCTTTGATCAACTAGCCATTTATGATTTCAGTCGCATCCAGATGTCATAACTTGTCTCCCCATAATTGAGTCTCACGAGTTTAAAGTTCTTCGTTGATTTAAATTTTTGCCATTTTCTTTTTGACCCGATGTTTTTGTTTCGTACAATTCATTTGGATATTTCTCTCGTGCTGAGTCCAGCTAGATTAACTCTTTTGAGACACCAAGAGACTCCAGGCAGCAGGTCCGCTTGAATCCCATCTCCCTCTTAACCATGGTCACTCCGGTTCCAGCAGGCTGTGGGTATCGTGCGTCCCAGACAGGAGAATTGTTTGCTAGTTAAACCTGACCACAGCTCCTGTAATGTACTCCTGAAAACCGGGCACAAATTTCTGGAATATTTACAGCATGATTTATGTTTATTCCAGGTCCTCGTTTTGATTACTTGTAGGATATTTTCATTCGATGCTGATCCGACGGTCAAGTTGCTTCCATTGTAACATTTTCGGACAGCAAGATGGACGCGATTGGACCATATATTTTACTTTCTGAGGTAAAGTTGGCCTCACTCTGGCGATAGAAGCGTGAGGTCCGATTCCATCGCCGGTTTGTATTGAAGTAGAATTCCGACACCGGCTGAATATTTGCTCGCGTCAAGCAGTTGCAAAACCGGGGAGGTTGTGGCATGTCGACGGGTTGACGGGGGATTAAACACGTCAAAGCGTCAACAGGGTCTGCAAACGAAGGAAGCGCTTAAAACCTCGCTGCAAATTACAAAGATCGTTCAAGTTGTCGATTAATCCTTTTGGATTACAAGGAGGTTGTGATTCTTTTTAATTTGCAGTCGATTTCAGTGTTGTGATTCAATTCGGTCTTCAAGCGTTCGATTGTCAGTTGTTTCAGCTTCTTTGAGCGAGAAACGATCCAGAAACCAGGGAGATTATTCTCGCGTAGCAGCGATGGGGTGTCCATAGCCGCCCAGACTCTCAGTTCTTGATCGACAAGGGGCCGTGGAGGGGAATACGGGGGCGAGGGCTCTTAAAAATACGACTGGATTTTGACGTCGGCTGGATATTGAGTCCGAAAGGTGACGAAGGGTGAGTGCTGTTCCATGAGCTTTTGACAGTCCTCCAGAGAAACTTTGATCTAGGTTCATGATTGCCTTCGTTTGAATCTGTTGCTAGTGCAGTAGATCGGAGATGCAATACAACTTTCCTGCGCGAGCTTTCTGGTCATACATAGGTTTGTGTCTGTTTAATCCCGTCGGAAGGAACCTCGGTTCGCTCTGGATTGTAAATGCCGGGGTCACCACTCTTTGGTTCCACGAACTGATGACTCTGTTACTGATACGCCTGAATCTAATTTGTAGACAATGTAGGATGAAGCGAGTTTCTACGTCTACGTTCTAAGAAATGACCTACGTATGAAGTAATTGAAATGTGCAATAGGCATGTGTCGCGCTGAACGTCACCACTGGCTTCTTGAGACATATACATGAGACCTTGACTGACCTGATGGAATTGATACCTGGGTAATTGTTTAGCCGATTCTGCCGCTCCTGAAAGATATAGTGGGAGTAGTGGAAGTTTGGCCATGTGATCATGTGGATAGTGCAGATTTGCGTTCTCTTATTCCTTGGTTTCTGAGGGAGTTGTGCGTTTTGACACAGATGGACGCCGAGCCTTCCGACGCTTTCTTACACACACTGCTGGAGACTGGCCATGACCTCGAAGCCCTCGAGGATGACGATGATGGCTGGATAAAGGACCTGGAGGCTGAGGTCCTCAGCAATGAAAAGGAGCCTTCCTCGCCTACTTGGGTTAGCGAGGAGTCAATTTTAAAGGTAATGTCAACCTGACAGAGCTTGGAGTTTGAAGGAGCTTGTATCTTCTGTTAATTTTGGCTCTATGGCAATCCGCTTTCCAACTTAGGTCGTTGAACGCGTATAGGTAGGGTGTGAAGTTGCCTAAGTTTCTTTTGTCTACGTAATGTTGTAGTGAGGCTTTGCTGCGTTTGGCAATGCCTTGGATCACGATTGAGGTGAGGACCCTGTAGATCTTTATTGGATATATGTCGAGCGGGTAGCTATATCGATACAGCCGCAAAAAGGAGTCCGCTCTTATGCAGCGGCGTCTTGCCTCTTTAATTCAAACATACTTTGTTTCAGAGATGTATGGTATGTGTATTCAGTTTGTTTGTTTCTCTGTTTCCTTGCAACTCGATTGATTTTCATTCAAACTCAAACAAAGCACCCAATTGCACCTAGCCCGTACATATTTCTCAGTTCCAGGTTTCAGTATTGCGTTAGTTAGTTGTCAAGCGAGCCTGACTCCGTAGAGAGGCAGCTTTTGAAGGCAACTAGTCTTGAAGGATTATATCTTGATGAAGTCCGCTTATTATGCTTGGTTCATATTCTTTACATATCGTTCACATCGACGACATTGTCTTGCCCTGCATCTGTTTAGGTTGCAAGAGTATGCGATATTTTTGTTCATATGACCCTGGACAAGCATGTCATTGTTTATTGTTTTCCATTGCCGCATTGCCGCATGTTTTTCAATTTTTACTCCCTTACGTTTCTGACCATATCTCCGTTTACTACCTTCCCATCCATCTCAAGGTTTCGTTGAAATCTTGGAGCTTGTATAGTTTCCCGAGTAGTACCCTTCCTTTGTATATCCTGAAATCTTTCGGTCGGAAGTTTTAACCACTTTGATTCAATGGTGGATATACCAGACTTGACTGTCTTCCGGATGGGCATCGCTGCACGCCATCTGAACTATCGCGCTGTGGGACTCCCCAGCGATGCTTATCCAGCGGGTGTTCCAAAGAAACCTATGCCTGGGTATGCAATTACCTTATTTTGCTGCTCTGTTGCTGCTTGAAGTACGGTGATGGAAACTCCTACCGGACAGTTGGTCGTTTGCTGTTAACACCCGGTTTGTCTGTGTTTCGGCTACGCATGTATTTGACGTTGTCATTTCAGGTTCCGTTTGGAGGATCTCTTAAGAGAAAGCGGCCTGATGACTCTCAGGATTCTGTCCCGCCAAAGAAAGTACCTGGAATAGACACTGGTAATTTCGGGAAAGTCCCACAGGAATTGTTCTACAACATTCTGAAGTTTCTCTCGTCTGAGGTATGATACTGCAATTTTAAATTGTAGTCAAGTATGCTTGGATGACCATTTTGTAGATCAGATTACTCAGATCTGAGTGACGAGAGGGAGAGAGAGTGACCGTGCTAATCGTGTGTGGTTGCCAATGTTGCAGGATCTCTCAATGTGCGCCGGTGTATGTCAGTTTTTGAGAGCGGCCACATCAGATGAGAGTCTGTGGCGCAGACTGTATGTCACGACCCCTTATTCATCATCATCTTGAGATCTCCTTATCTTCTCCTTACAAGTAGAGTTTATTTGCCCAAGTTGATGTTAGTCCCCCTCATTGTCCTGTTTGTGCTGTCCCTCCTGTGACACATGCGTGTGATTTGTTGGATACGCAGCTACTGTCTTCGTTGGGGTCCACCAGAACAAGGGGAGAGGAAAAGCAAGCTACGAGGCTGTGCTTGGAAGCAGCTTTACTTTGAGGTGAGGTTATAATCCAATGAATATTTGTCCAGACCGTATCACTATCATATTTGTACCAGATCGTATGTTCTAGGAAAGCATATGGATTAGCTGATAAGTTGGCTGCTTCGAAACTTCGGTCAAGTTGGATGCAGTCGACGGGTCTCCTGCCAACTTGTATCCAACTCTAGTGTTGAAGTTTATGGGGCTCATGTTCTTCATTGCTGTTGTTCGTTCGAATTATGACTTGGGAAGCGATTCTTTGCTGACAGTTGTTTCCGTTCCGTATGAACAGCGTGATCAGGCAGATATGGTGGAGTTTGTGAGGAACACGCCTGTTGAGTTCAGGGAGTATTACATACAAATGCAAGTCGCGAAACGTAGCCAAGCGCCAGTCCCTTCACAGGTGATCAATTTTGGAAGTCTCTCTACTCTTGTATTGCCCTACGCTCAGCTAGTAACTTCAATGGCAGCACCTTTATCGCCACTGATCTTCCTAAAGATCGAGCACATTACTGGAGTAATCGCACCTATGTTTGACTTCTGTGGACTAACTGTTTTTCAACTATATATCTCCAAATAAATTGATAAAGTGTAAGTACGAATGTGAAAATACGGCTACCCTTACGTTTCCTGCTTACATGCAGATTCTTTAACGAGCTGAGGATTCTGAAGCATTTTCTCTGTTACTTTTTAACCTACTGTAGCCTGACGAGAACGTCCATGTTGGAAAACACTCATTTTCAATCTCACCCAGGTTCCTAGAGAGTTGTCTCCCAGCGGTGAGGGAATTAAGTGAATAGTCAATCGATTGTGATCTATCAGTTCCATTGTAAATATTTTTGACTTCTATCTGTCTATCCATAATAAACTTTGGATGATGTAGTTATGTAAGTTCCCACCCACTACTAGATACTCGAAAACTAGACGAATCAGGAGGGTCAGTCCTTTTATGTAGCGGACATTGGTGCAATTATGTTCTATGTTAACAGGTTGTGTTTCTCAACTGTGATCAGTCTCGTTTCTGAATTGTTTACTTCAGCTAGTTAGATTGCTCTTGCCTGAGCAACTGATTATAGTGTGTCACAATTTGATCTTGTTGCAATTGCAGATACGTGACGACCTTGTTGTGATCGATACATCAGTTGCTGACCACGTTACAGCATGGCGGCGTGGGCAGAAGCTTCCCGACGTTTATGTTGGCGATCACTATTGTTCCGGCCGAACATGCTCGTATTATCAGATCGGTGATATATTTCTTTGTGAGAAGACTGGACGTGCCCATAGTAAGTTATTGCAGTCTGTTCCCTCGTCTGAGTCGTGACTATCCATCATCTTACTATTTGTAATAATCTGGGATTTGTAGTATGTTTTGCCGCATCTGAAGTGTAGTCTGGTACGCTAAAGTGCTGCTTCAGTTCTCTATTTCATATCTTAATTCTCGTATTTTATCGCCGTTTTTCATGGCAGTATGCGATGACACATGCCGCGAGACAGTGCTGGATCCATCAAATGACCTCCTTGTCTGCACTGTTTCTGGTCGATGCTTTGATCGGTGGCTCGATGGCGATGATGACGAAGAAGCACAGCCGGTATGTTAATTATCTAATCTCTTTGTGTTCTCTCGAAGAACATAGATCAGGATGAGTTTTAACAGTAAACACTCACTATATCTCCTGCTCGACCTTCAGGCACGTCAACAAGCAGAGATCAACGCAGCAGCCGAAGAAGGAGAGCCTTTTATAGGCGCAGGCAGACTCGGTAATTGTCCTCACTGTTATCTTTCGTGTGTGTTGACCCTCCCTTGTTGATCCATTCGATCAATAACGAGGACTTTTATGATTGACACAACACGAAGTCCCTGATCAAGCGCTAACCATGCCTGACACAATCAGGAATGATAACCGAAGCAAATTTGCATTTGTTAAGTTTTATTCGTGAAGCTTGTGATTTGTTTCCCAATACATCGGTCGTGTATTTAATGCAGGTCGAGCGTATCTTCTAGGCTACAATTGCGTGGACGAGCAAGAATTGGATGCAGCTCTGAGGTGTTGACATTGCCGGTTTTTTTTACTCAAAGTATCTACTTTCCTCATTCGTTTAGTGACAGGCCTTATAGCTTTTTCTTGAACAAGATTTATGGGATCAAGCCTTGTAGTCTGTAGGAAGCTTAGGATGTCCAAAGTTTGGAGTTGCGAACGGCTGAAGGAAATGTTGTCAGAGCTGGCCCACTGATATAATGCGTGTTCTGCAGAGAGGTGGTGTATCCAGGAGCCAAGAAACAGAAAGTATACTCGGTCTGTGACTGTGACAGTGAGGTGTGAGATCTGAACGTGTGTACAATCTTCTTCTTGTACATTGCGTATATGTTGTAGACTAGAGTATGCTGATGTCCTTCACGAGTCTCCCCACTGCCAAACAATGACATTCTGATGGGTAAACAACCGTCAAAGAGGTAGGCCCTTTCTTAGGTAGTGGTTTCTAACGATCCTCCTAGTGTAGGATGGCACAAGGATGGTACTCCTGGTTCGGTCCATTAGCGAGGTACGAAGCATGAGTAGGTTTTAAGGTTATGATTTAGAACGCAGACGTAAGTAGTATCTCACAATGTAGCCAAGTTTTAGAATTTTAGAGGATATCTTAGATGGATCGATGCGTCGGTGGTCTCGAATGGGAAATAGATAATAATTTATATAGTTGGAACCGTGATTATTAAACTAATCCCTATTGACGTTATCGACTGTCAATACAAGACCAGGAAATTGTTCCTCTTGTTTACGTTTTATGGTCATGTCATATTAGTGGATGTCGAGTATGGTCGTCATTTGTATAAGAAGTCAGTTGTCTGAGCTTTTCTAATGTTTGCACCGGCCAAGATGATTAGGTTGATTTTGGCTGTTGCTGATTTGATATGGATTGGTATAGAAAGCTGTCTATTCTAAACCAGTAACGTGTATGGAGTTCAACAAGGTCTGTTGCATGTCAAGTGGATTTCACATATATGCACTTAGATCTACTTTTATTTCACTTTCTAATTTATCTTTTTTCTGCCACCGAGTGTTTATAAAAGACCGTATCAAATGTAAGACTAGTGAGTAAAACTTCAGCAACATAAATTGTTGTATCATATAGTCTAGATTTGTCTCATCTATATTCGATTATATTATTATACAGGAACTACCCTTGACCGGATTTGCTCATCGGTCAAGTGTCATCGTCTTATCACTTTTATAGGGTTCTTCTCTTCATTTTTGTAAGTAGTCCATGTGAAGTACCACGACGGCAACAACAGAAATTCTGTGTAGAAATGACACTAAAGTAAAACGTGCAACAATTTGGATTACCTAAAAGTAATAAAACCCTTTGGCAATTATGGTGAATATCTTCTTACAATATCTACACAAGCATCATCTTACAACACTGAAGTCACAAGCCTTAAAACACAATATTAAAAACTCCCAAACCGTTGTCTTTTTTAAGCAAACCAAATTGACTATGAATCATTAGAAAGTCACTCTTTTATAGTTTATTTATCATTCCAATTTTGTCTACGTAACCTTGCAATTCAAAATTTGGTCCCTTTTCATGCTTTTGAAAATTAAAATTTCTTTCTTGTTAAGATAAGAAAAGGTAAAAAATCATTATTCTCTAATATGTAACATACATATTTTCAAATTCTAACAATTAATTTCATATTCCTGTAGACAGGTAATAATTATCTATCAATGTTTACATAAAGTCTTATATATTAAACACATTTATGTTTGTGAGTCTTAAAATTTTCACCGTACATTTGAATTTAAAAACTGATGGTTATGAAATTTTAGATAACAAAAATACACGAAATATCTTAATGATTTACTTAAGACATAGAAAAATGATATTGAAAACATTAAAAAATTATATTTACATAGATTGAATTAAACGTATATTTGAAAATACAATAATTATTAAAAATATATTCTATTAAAAAAACCAAAATTCATTTTTTTGGGGGGATTATTTGTAGTAAAATTTTTAAATGATTTAGATTTTCATTAGTTCTTGTAGACGTAAATGTCAAATCGTGTAATTTTGTGTTGGCATTTTGACGTGTTGCATTTCTGTGTGCAAGATCAGTATTTTCGCAAGAAATATCTCAACATATCTTTTTTGAAAAGCCTTAAGTTTAGATTTGATAAGCAAAAATATTTTTTTAAGAGTAAAAGTATTGAATTTCTTTTGAATATGATACATGAAGATATACATCTTGTGCTATTATATTTTTTACAATTTTTAGAATTATCTAGGAGAATGAAAGTTGAAAAAAATGAATAATGTATAAATAAATAAATAAATATATATTTTCAAGCATAAATAGATTATATAAAATTAATAGAAAGACGTTTGAAAATAAATAACATTTCAATCTTTGAATGTTATTTTCAATTAATGCTAGATTGAAGAGCAAAGATACTATACATGTATAGAGTAAGTTGAAGAATAAGATCTATAGATAGATGACAGGATAAATTCAACTATATTTATGTGATATTGATATTCTATTACTTTGGTATCTTGAATATGCTTATATTTTCCAATGTCCAAGGTAATAGCTCTTTGAAACTTTATTGATCTATTCACAAATAAATCAAATCGTGAACTATTATAACGTTTCAATGAGCCGTATGTCATCTTTATGTTAGATATTATCTTCATAACAACGATGATGAAGGACATCTTTTGAATGTAGTCATGTCACAACACAACATCTTCATATGGGATGATGAGATATGTATATGCATGATAATGGTGCTTTAAGTCATTCAACGTTTTACTGCAAGGGTGGTGAGGTGTGCTTTAATGTTATCTGATGTAAACGTGTGTAGATCCGTAAATATATTTTCCACGCAAAGTGTTTTTTTTTTCTGAGCTACACATCATGGGGAGGACAAGCTAGTATTGTTTCTCCAATTCCTTCCATTATTCTTTAAAGGCAGGTGAAGCTTATGCAAGGAATGCTCTTGTTGATTCCAGAGTTAAATACATAGGCAGTCTTGGTCTCAACTCATTCTCATGAACATAGTGTGTTTGTTGGCACTACTGTAAAATATAGTAAAGGACCATTTGTTCATTAAAATTTGTCAGTGAGGAGGGAAGCTGGGTGTACTATGAGCTTCCTCCAAGATATTTAAGACGATCGTACACATGTGCCCTGCAGGCTTCCAGGTTCAGGTTGTTTTCTGAAAATTATGTAGAAATGCTTTCGGCAGATCAATCGAGAGCTCAGCGACAAGGATGGCCACACGATGAGAGCTTCATACCGTCCTGGTCGCCAGCTTTATGCAATCAAGAGGCGCCAAATGTCATGTAAGGAGCCTGAGAAACATCGCGGCTGCTGTGTCCTATTCATATGGCGCAGAAAGCGCTTACCTGCTGACCAGGACAATCTGACTGCCTGGTCCTCGTGATCACAGCTTCAACCTTTTCATACAAACTCCCCTCCAGCGCCACAAAGCGGGAGAGAGAGAGAGAGTGTGTGGGACGAGGGAAATTGTGCTGAAACGCTGCCAAGATGGCCCTGTTGATTGGTCCAAAAGATTACGAAAATGAGCCACCGCGACATCCAGCGTTGAGAATCAATGCCAAGGTAAGTTCTGGTTCTTTGATCGCATTGATTTACCTTCTGGATTCATGTTTTGATGGATGATTAGTGCTCCTCGTCTGTCGTTCTTGAACTGGCCCTGGTATAATTTTACTGCTCCTATCTCTATCTTTGATGTAGTTATTCCGCGTTCATGGACTCTCTCCAATTCCTCTCAGTTGAACATAAGTTCTGTTCAGTGTGTTTGAGTGATGATCCTGGCGGAATCGTAATTTCCGACAACAGGTGTAGAAAAAGTGCTGTGCATTATTTCAAGTTCTCATGTAATCATGTACACTACAAGTCGATGGATATCAGAAGAATTGAAAATTGTTTTTTGCTCGCTTTGATATATCGTGTCAATTGTGGGTGGATAAAGCTTGCCCAGAAAGTCTTTATTCACGTAGCATAGTTTTGCTGGTAAAGTCACGCTTATGACTCAAAAGTCTTTCACTTTCCTAACATTTACTCGTAATGCCTGCACAGCAAAGGAACTACTGAAGTGCTATGTATACCTGTTTTGGAAACAAACTGGTTACAACTGTGTGTACTTGAAGTTTATTTGTGTTTCTATAACATATACGGCTTATATTTTTAAGCAGGAGCCTTTTAATGCGGAGCCTCCACCTTCGGCTCTGGTAGCATCATACATCACACCCATAGACATGTTCTACAAGCGGAATCATGGACCAATTCCGATTTTGAAAGATCCTTCATCGTAAGTTACAGGATTCTACAGTGTTCACTGTCCCTGAAGTCCTGCGTGTGTCACTTCTCACTTTCTTAAGGAAGGAACCGCTTGGCTCCTTCTTTGTCAATACTGATAAAAGTGTTGAAGTAAACTATTATTCAGAAAGCCCTGCAGAACTGACCAAAATTATTGTTCTGTAATCTTTCAGTATGTACTGAATATGATATGGAAACTGTTCTGTCAGGTACCGATTGGAGATAACTGGTTTGGCACCAAAGAAATTATCTCTGAGCTTGGAAGCTATAAGGTGACTTGTTACTACAAATTTGACGAAAGAGACCGTTTCGACCGATTCTAAGTCATTTTTTTTATCCTGCCGTGCCAAAAACGTGTGAACAACCTCCTGTATATTTCATTGTCTAGAATTATACGACAGTTGTTCACGTCCAGCGACTGTATAATTCTGTTAGTCTCTAACGCGGGGCACATTTTGTATGAACATATCGCAGGAGTTTGAAGAAACACACGGTTGTGGCTACCTTGCAGGTGACATTCACATTGTCATTTATGTAATCTTTTTGCGATCTGGAAGAGTCACGAACGAAGAATTGCAAGAAGCCAATTATAGAAGTAATTTTCTGAAGCTTTGGATCAGTGCCTCAGTGTGCAGGGAACCGTAGAACGGCCATGAGTGACACTCGTAAAGTAAAGGGAGTAGGCTGGGGTATATCAGCCCTTGGAAACGGTAAGCACATGTCTTATCATCTGAAGGAAGAAATGAGAGAATTTTTTGGTAGTGCCTTGGAACTATCTTCGTCATTAGCGATATTATTTGAGAGTTGAATTTACTAAGATCACATTTCTAGCCCATCAAGTCCATGGGAACTTGATACAGCTCCAACAAATGATGTTTGTTTTTCTTATAAATGTTCTCACACCTTTTAGAGTCCATCAAGTTTAGAGGTTTCCTCACCTGGACGTTCAACATTTGGGTGTTGCCGTTCCAGAGAGAGTTGCCTTTCCCTCTCTATGGAGATCTCATCGGGCCTATTTTACAATTCTACTTGTCAGCCAACAATAACTTGATATCTGTAAGAAAAGTAGCCGAAGTACGGTATTACGAGTTTATGTTTTGTGAAATCGATGTTTATCATTCCTGGTTGTGAGATCAGTAACATATATCTTTTGCTTGAACTTTGATACAAAGTGTCTGGATTAGACAGTTCCCTGCGGCAGATTCGGGGCTTGACACGATATAGTTTTATTCTTTTCTTGATGGAACACATTTTTTTGAATGTAGGGATATGGGGAGGAGTGCTGCTTTCAGATGTACTAGAGTTGGCGGGCATACCCTGCTATACCAGACGCTCTGCGAATGGAGGCAAGCATGTTGAGTTCATTAGTGTCGATCAGTGTAAGGTATTTTTTTTTTATGAGAATGTAATACGGATGATTTTTCTCTTTTTATGCCACTGTCTACTAAGTTCTGCACCACCTAACCTACTACTACTATCTGCTAACTTGATTTCTTCGCATCTAGACGAATGTATAGTCCAAAATTATCTTCTACTATGTAGCTTGATATGCCACCTTGAAGCGTGTGAAAAAAATAGTTTATATTACTGATCTATAGATAGTAAACTGACTTCTGCTGACTCCAAGTAAACTGTCGATTGAAAGAAAGACAAATCTAACGTGTAAAGTTTCTTTCATTCTTAGGAAGAGAAAGGAGGGCCATACAGAGCATCAGTGCCTTTATTGCAAGCTACCGACCCAGAAGCTGAAGTTTTACTGGCTTATGAAATGAATGGCGAGGTAATTTGCTGTCATCATCTCCAAGGATGTCCAAGCAGGGTTTATTGCTATTGAGTCATTGATATGCTCATTCTTTTCCTCTTGCTGACCTTTAATGAACTGTCGTGAGGTATTTTAATATGTTTTGTTATAAGGTGCCTTTGGTAAATCCATGAGTTCTGTACGAGGATAAGTTCAAAGCGAGGATACAATTCGCTTACTATCAATTTCCTGTCATGGCCTGAAGACCATTGACTTGGGAGCGTTGCAATAAGTAACAGAAGGGGAAGGAGACGAAGTAAACTGAGATGATGGGGAGAGACAGGACTACTCGAGAGTGAAGATGGTCTCTCATATCTTAGTATATTTCTCCTTGAATGAGGTTCATTTGGAGCTTCCAGTTGCCAGCCTAGATTTCCTTCAACATCCATCCATGAAGTTGGCTCCAATGAATTTGCCCAGATAGCAGTAGTTAAGATATTCATAAAATGACGATGATATTCAAAATCTTCAGCCATTCAAGCAGGTTATGAGTTCGGACATTTGTCATCTTCTATGTATGGTGCTCGACATGACGATCATAAAAAATTTTGTGCGCAGGAACTAACCAGGGACCATGGGTATCCTTTGAGAATTGTAGTACCGGGAGTTATCGGTGCACGATCTGTGAAGTGGCTTGCAAGTATTGATATTTGTCCTATTGAGTGCCAGGTAAATTGTCCTCACTTTATGTTCCTTCATGTACAGGATAGTATTCATCATGCTGCCATGTGCAAGTGAGTGTGACATGTTTCTCGATTTTGCGTTTTGCATCGTCAACTATTGGTGTTGAATGTCAGTTGGGCTGTATGAGGTAGATGTTGGCCTGTCAAAGGTTGATGTGACCTGTTCACGCTAACGCCTTCCTCTACTTACTTTGCTTATTTGTACAGGGTTTTTTCCAGCAACAAGATTACAAAATGTTTCCACCTTGGGTTGATTGGAACAATATCGTTTGGCCTTCACGGCGGCCACTCATGGACTTCCCTGTTCAGGTGATACCACGCATGCTATCTAATCTATATGGGAGAAGAACTAGCGGCTAGAATAGGAAATTATTAGATGTCCGTATGAGCTTTACGTTGTCATCACGACATGAAAGCTGCAACGAAGGATCATCGACGTGTATTTGTTTTCTGTAAAGTGGAGAGCGTAACACAGAGCTAATTGTTAACTTGTGGCGTTGTTAAAATTTCAGTGTGCCATCTGTACACCCTCAGATGGGAGCTTCATCAAGACAGGAACCACGGTGAGACTCTCAAGTTGTACTTATTAATGCCTGTCTTAGCTGAAGGATGCAGGCCCCCCAGCCTGGCTGAGCGATGCTATACCGAAGAGATTGAGTTTTGTAAAACAAGATGACAGAAGGAGATAATGTTGAGACTGGTTGAGATATCATAGGGTCCGACTTGTAGTCGATTTCTCCATTCAAGCTTGAAAATTGATAACTCTTCAATTTTCATTTGACATGGATTATGTCAGGGTTGAGGTGTCCTGTCGGCCTTTGTGACAGTTTTATTAACCAGAGTTGCTTCAGGTCAAAATTAGCGGATATGCCTTGAGTGGAGGAGGACGTGGGATAGAGCGAGTTGAAGTATCTTTAGATGGTGGTCGAACCTGGATTGAAGCGACCCGACTGCAGAGTGGCCGTTCGGCACCTTCGAACTCTTACATTTCAGATGTAGACGAGCAGCGTGAGAAATGGGCATGGGTGTTGTGGGAATACAGTACCACAATGACTCCACCTACGACGATCATTGCCAAGGCTGTAAGTTCCTGTTGGGTTATAATTTGTATACATTGTTTGGTTTTAGTCCCTTGAGTGCTCTGCATGCGGTCTTTCCTAAAACTAATCCAAAAGTCTGTTTGTTTGCTTGTCGAGGACTGTCATATTATTCTTACTTCTTGAGCCAGAACTCAGCATGGTTTGATCTTAAAAAATCTAATTTTTAAAACTAATGCACCATCATGTCTTGTCGTTTCGGGCCTTACGTAGAATAATTTTTAAGAGGTTGTATATGCTTAACATCGTATCTATGTACTTTCTTGATCTTGCTGGATACTGAGCAACTTTAAAAGCCACTAGATGAAGAGTTTGAGGAGGCTGGTGTGATGGAACTCTTACGTTTGAGGTTAAAACCAATGTAGGACGTTGCTGAAACGATTAAAGATCTCACATCATTCTCGAAGTCATCATCTGGCACATCCCTAAATTGTCTCTGCGCGTCTCCTGACTTGTGGAGAGAGATAATATTAACTGCCACTGCATCTTAGGCTAGATGTGCACGTACAGCAAGGTCACTAGGCCGCAAATTTTGAACCCAGAATTCGATCCTCAAGCTCTGCTGCAAGTGTTAATAGAGATCTGAAGTTGCTCTCGGGAGGACGTCTTAACTGAATTTCCTTCTTAGACCGAACATCACGGCCTCTATACTGTATATACATGTTATTAGAAAAGTAGTGCAATGCAAGAATGGGTCGACACAGGTTCTGAGTTCTGAGGAAGGATCATCGTAAGAGTTGTTGATAAAACACAGGTCCCCGGATTCGGTTTAAATACCCAATCCGAGGTGACAAGGGATGTGCTCTGATACAAGGGAACACACCGCTACAGTGGGTCGCAGTCACATCACATCACAGTCCTAACTATGAGGACACTAACTGCTCTAATCCGCACAGACAGGAAGTAATAGGGAGTATAACAGTATTCTAACACTCCCACTTACTACCTACTTACTTTTCTCTTCCTCATTTCCAACTAACAAACCCAAATTTTGATTATGACACCAATGCGTTTCTCTAGCTAATGGTTTTGTCATAATATCAGCAATCATCTCTTCGGTTGGAAGATAAACCAACTTCACCAAGTTATTTGCGACTAGATCCCTGACAAAAAGATATCTAATATCAATCTGTTTTAATCTTTCATGATTCTTGTGGTTTTCTACATGTGCAATAGCACTTTGATTGTCGCAGAATATTGTTGTCGACTCCAGCCCAAAGCCTAGATCGTTCAATAATTCTCTTAACCACATAGCTTCAGCTCCAGCCTTGGACAAAGCCATATACTCTGCTTCTGTAGAAGAAAGTGCTATTGACTTTTGTTTCTTTGATGTCCAACTAATGGTTCCACCATTGAGTTGGAAGCAATATCCAGAAGTAGATCGTCTCGTGTCAAGGCAACCTCCCCAATCCGCATCAGACTATCCAGTCAAACCGGATGGTTTATCAACCCTTGTAAACACAAAGCCAAAATCGAGAGTTCCTTTCAGATATCTGAAAATCCTCTTAACTGCCTTCCAGTGTATCAATACAGGATTTGACATGAACTGAGCCACTGAACTAACAGCATATGATATATCGGGTCTAGTACAGACCATCGCCCACATCAAGCTCCCAACAGCAGCTTGATATGGTATATCTTTTATCTCTTCACTTTCTCCCACTGAATTGGGAGAGTCAAGCACTCTTAACTTCAAACCGGGTTCCATAGGTGTATCAATAGGCTTACAGTAAGCCATGTTGAACCTCGCAATTTTTTCAACCAAATATCTTGGTTGGGAGATCCTAATCCACCCTTCTTCACGATTTCTGTACTTGCATACCAAGACATTGATGAATCTCTTCTAAGTCCACCATATCGAACTCCGTTTTAAGTTTCTCCTAGATATTTGTAAGAAGATGCAAGGAATCACTCGCCAGTATACAGTCGTCCACATATAGTGCTAAATACACAAATGCATTCTCCTGAGAGTATATGTAAACATTCTGATCTGCATTAGCTCTGATAAAAGCAATCGTTCTTACGAACGAGTCAGTCCTTTGATACCACTGTCGTGAGTATTGCTTCAGTCCATAAATGGACTTATTCAGTTTGCATACCATGCTTTTCTCAGAAGAGATATTCAACCCTTCAGGAAGGGCCGTGTAGACTTCTTCATCTAATAGTCCGTTCAAAAATGCAGTTTTCACCTCCATCTGGTGCAGCTCTAAATTGTTTTGAGGTGCTAGAGCCATTAACACCCTAATGGATGTCATCTTCACCACAGGAGAAAATGTTTCCGAAAAGTCAACACCATAAACCTGTGAATATCCTTTAGCTACTAATCTGGCCTTTTATCGATCAACAGTACCGTCAGGCTTGTATTTGATTTTGTGAATCCATTTACAGCCAACGATGTTCTTGCCCTTAGGTAATGCTGTCAATGTCCAGGTTTGATTTTCCTTCAAAGAAGAAAATTCATCTTCCATAGCTTCTTTCCATTTGATAGGATCACCACTCTGTAAGGCGTCTTGATAAGTAGTAGGTTCTGTGTGAGTCTCTCCATACGAAAATAAACCTCTTTGCTTCTTCTTCTTTTCCATCTTTTCCAACAGTTGATCATATTATTTGACACGTTTCCTTACTCTTTCCCCCCTTCGAAAGATAGGATCGATGGTGCGGGAAGAGGGTGAAGCTGCCCCCGTAGCTGTATGGTCAGGAGGTTGAACTGCCGGGGCCTCAGATGTAGTGTCTTGAAGTCTAAGTTCACCCAGTAGGTGCTCGAGGTTGCGAACCGTATCAACAAGAGGAGTAGAAAAGAGAGGATTCTCCCGTAGCTTCCATGTGCGCCTCTGGTAAGTCTGGCCAAAACGGCCGGATAAGTGGCAGGGACTTCAGCTGTGGGAGGATGACTCACGGAGGGAGTGGAAGGTGCTTGTGGAACTCCCACTCCAGGTGATGGTGTAACCGGACTGAAGGCTCCCACTGCTGGTGGCCTTCCTGCTGGTGGCCTGTCCTGGTGGTAATATTGGCGGAAGGGAAACCTGCGATCTCGATCAGTAGATGAAACTAACGTTAAATGGCTAAAGGGAGTAAAACCTTCTTGCTCAGCAGGCGGAACAACTGATGCCTGCTGATGGGGAAAGGTAGATTCCCCAACTGCAAGAGGCAGAAATCTGGCAGATCTGCTCTCAAGAATCTTACGAGAGTCTTTTCGCTGTAACCGATCTCCTTCGGCTGTAGGAGAAAAACCAAGGAAGACACATTCCACACTCTTGGGGTCAATCTTACCCCGATGGCCTTTTTCAATATGGGCAAAGGCAGTACATCCAAAAACTTGTAAGTGCCCTTCTGTCCATGCCAAAGGTAGTAAGGGGTTTTGTCATTGGGTAGAGCCTTCGATGGAGATCTGTTCTGCATTAAACAGCAGTATGGATGGCTTCGCCCCAATAACCATGAGAAAGACCAGTGTCAACATAGCTACAACTGAATCGATCAAAGTACGATTTTTCCGTTCAGCTACTCCGTTTAGTTCGGGAGTATCAGGAATAGAAAACTGACGTTTACCATGAAGCGAACAAAAGTCAGTAAAAGCTCGAGATTTGTATTCAAAAGCATTATCTGATCGTAGAACCTTGATGCGCATGTTCAGGTAATTCTCAGTCATCAATTTGAATTCCTGAAACTTGGCAAAGGCTTCAGACTTCTTTTGTACTAAATACACATGCGAATATCGTGAAAGGTCATCAATAAATGTTATGAAATATTGACATCCAGAGAATGTTTGAGTTCTCAGAGAGCCACATATATCTGTGTGCACTAGACCAGGAAGGTCTATAGCACGAGTGGCTCCTTTGCTTGGGAATTTAGCTCTGGTAGACTTCCCTAGAGCACATGAAGTGCAGAAAGGGAGAGTTCGAAAGGAATATTTATCCAACCCTTGTACCATATGATGCTGCTTCATTTGCTGAATCCGCGGAAGACTCATATGGCCGAGCCATTGATAGGTGTTCAGCTCTTCAGTGCTGGAAGGGGATATTGGAAGAAGTCGTTCACGTTCGTGCACTGAGCAATTACGTTACCCATCTTGTACTTAAAGATGCATTGATCAGGTTGAACCAGTAGACTCCTTCCTTGACTCGTTCATTGGAGAAGCTGATTTATGGAAAATATATTCTTTTGGATATAGAATTAGCTGAAATATTCTGAAAATAGCTGTTGGAGCCCCTGAGAAATCATCTTCCAGAATTTGAGTGTTGAACTTCTCAACAAAGTGTCTCTGTGATTCATTTTCTTTACGGTCTCGCGCAGAACGCTGACCCAAATTCCGGACACTTTTGCAAAATTTGAAATTCGTGAAATTTTGCTTGAATTTCAAGAATCTTTAAAATATCGCTCGAAATTTTAAAAATTTCATCAATTTCGGGTTCCCCCAGGGCTCTGATCAGCGCTGACGTCCGGCGGGCGAATTCCGCCCGCAGAACGCCGGACAGCGAATCTTCGAGAGGGCATACCTGATTGATATCAACGGTTTTGTTTTCAGATATCCAGTGCTTGGCGAGTGTGCTGTACCGATGCTACATAGAAGAACCAGACTGACTTAGCTCTTTGTGGGTGTTGCAGGTGGATAGTTCAGCCAATGTGCAGCCACAAAAAGTTGAAGATATATGGAACTTGCGTGGAGTTCTCAATAATTCTTGGCATGAAGTACATGTGAAGGCTGAGCCACAATCGATTCAATCTAGCCTGTAAGCTGTACAAACTGATAACCTTCGACACAACTAACTATCAGACTATCCTATCAGATGAATCTGAATTCTACACGTTAAGACACAAAGTCGATCCATTATGGTATCAACTTTCTTCTTCAGTGGTGTAAGGGCACATTGGACAAGTTAAGGTTTTCTCACACCTATTTGATAGAGATATCTGTGAGTATCAGCTTGACCGTTTCGGTCAGGTCAAACACCACGTGTGTTAGTTGTTTGACTTCCTGAATTGTCAAGGAAATACACAAGATGCTTAGCCTCTTGCTTGGGTAGTTGTACAGTAGACTGCTCAAGGAGAATATCAAATGACAGGACAGATTCACTCGTGCTTTATGCGCGTCCAGTATTAAGTTTATAGATTTGTGAGTGGGGTGATGCTTGTCGCTACAATGTTCTTTGAAGGAGTTCCAGCTTGCTGATTCATAGCGCAGTCTAGGGCCAGTGGAACTGAGAAGCAGGAAGCACATACCCTCTTGCTCCCATTTTCTCTCAAGACTATGGACTGCACATCACTTGAATCTTTCACTGGTTTTACTTCTCATCTTACTTCTCATCTTCTCATCTACCGCTGGAACCTGGATGATTGGAGGTTCTTTTCTTCAGTTCTGAAAGTCTCGTTCGGCAGTAAATTTCGACAGTATATTTGTCTATATGTCCTTTCATACTTGAAAGGACATATAGACTTGTTGAAAGTACATGGCATGGGATTCGTCACGAGGATATATCAATCTTTGTGGGGTTTATACGAGAACGTGTGGAGTTTGACGAGGAAACCCATATATTTTCTCTTTTTTGGTTTTCTCGTTTCTTTGTAACTTGAATTGACTGTCACCATCCAAAAGCCTTCGTCTTTTCACTGTGGATTATGGTACACGCTGCTTAAGGGAGGTCAAGGTAGTGTGAACGGGTATTATAGTGGATATGTAAATACCTGGCCCCGAGTATGTACATGGACTGTCTGACAAGTCATTTGTATCTCACCGACGATGCACATCTTCATTTGAATTTGGGACTTTTTTACTATGTTCTTGATCAGATGGTAAGAATTTGACAATTTGTGAACAGGTATATGAAGCTTCTGTATCTGCTCTCTGATTCTCCTCCTTTGGACGGTATAGAAGCCCTACTTTGCCTAGGTTCCCTGAACCATATACAAACTACCAGTAGACAATACTGCATGTTGTAGAAATCCATGGCCTCAAGGCCAACGACATTGTTAACCGAAGTAGGTCGATAGTGCATGTTGATCCTACAATCGTTAGTGGGAGAGCGCAGTAGTGATGTAAGTATGTATGTCACTTGAGGCACTCTTTGTCTTCATGGTCGTTGCAGACTTGTAGGGATTGCCGGGAAAGATGAATGTCCACATGATGAGGAGAGCAGTCGAGCATGAAGATTGCAAATGACGATGGAGACTGCGAAATCGCATACGGACTTGCGAGTGAAAAAGCTTTCATAACGGCCTTTCGGAAAGACATTGGATTCACTGTAGCCCAACCGGAACACCAATTGCTCGTTTCGAATGAATATACCTTCAAGGAACTAACTTTTCACATGAAACCTTGAAAGGTGTACCTCAAGGCAAGACTATGTACTTTATATGCTCTGTAGATGAACTGAGATCCTGTCGAAGGTTCCGTGTTAAAGTTAGGAAGATCTCACGAAAGGATCAAATCTATGGCTTGCTAGGTGCGAGATACATATCGTCATTGTTATATTCCTCACCAGTGTGCTTGATCATGTGACGGCTTCCCAATTCACACAGTGAACTAGGAAACCGCCAAATGAACACAACTTTCGAACGCAGGAACGAATGAACCTTGTGAAGCACGTGGCCGAAATTCCCTAGTCGTTACTGAAGTTTCGCCCTTCGTACATATGTCGCTTGTAAAGATTAGGAGTGAATTCAAAGATCAATCATATCATTATTAAAAGGATTTTTTTGCCAGCGATTAGATCTATTCCTCAAGATGCAGAGGTAGTATGCTATCGTCATCAAGAAAGTGGGAGATTTGTCCAAAGAATTGTAATTCCACCATATTTGTCGGGTTTTCAAAAGTAGTCAACAATGTGTCCTTTCAATCCTGAACCTAGATTCTGTATCGGCTTATACCGTGCGTTGCTGCATTCTGCGGCCGTGTCTCAAAGGCAGGCATGTCAGTTCACATTCCAAGCACTTTCCAGCATCCATGCATGCCGAAATTCTACAATAGGTCCATCTAGGCGCAGAGGAAAGTCATCCTTTTAAAAATCATGTCGGCCCACAATGTTTACTTCGAATACAGACCATAGTAAATTAGTTTCCATGTGGTATGAGTTAGCTTGACTTCTGGCAAGTACTAGAGACGAATGGCTGTAAACATCATAAACTTCATCTAGTCGGGGAAAAAATAATAGTGCTACTCGAACGAAGTGTGTTCAGCACGTTCGACTCGATTGAACCTCTCAATTCAGTGAGAATTCGACCCGGCATGAGCTAAGATAGAACTACCCTAAACCTAAACCCTAAATTTATATGCAGACTTACAGACGACACTACACAAGTAAAAGACTTTCTTACCCACAATTGAGACATTGTTTTGAGCATATTGGAAGGTAAATATGCGGACTACAGTTTCGTTACATGTGAGTTGAGAAAAGGGTGCTGGTTGATGATACATTTTGTACTGAGAGAATATGGAAATCAAACCTTAGCCTTAATTCTTTTACAGAACATATGATTTGGTAAAAAAAGAAATTAAGCATGTTCATTTGTAGACCTCTAGGTTGCAACAAAGGACTCCCGTAAACATTCTCTGCCTGATTGACCCAGCTTCTCCTCAAATAGTTGAAAATGGCATCGTAAAGATGCTAAACTCCGCTAGTCCATGTTGGTATGATTAATTATGAACACGCTGAATTTGCTGCTCTTGGGAGGAGATTACCAGCGAAGGCAAGAAGTCATATTTTTTTTGGCTCTCAAGTTTGATGGTGTGAAAGCAGGTGAGAAAGTTTTCATTACTCTTAGACTTGTTTTCTGACGACACTTTTCTTAGTTCCAATTGACGAGATGGACAAATGTCATGAAGTTTCCACCTAACAGCATAAAAGACAAGTAAATCATGTTCACCCGACACGCTCATTCTGTACATTTCTCTGCTCAAAAGACTAGTGAAAGGGCCAAGAAGGGACTATCATCTTACGTTCCTCTGAATAAACTCCATTTGTGATTCACTTCTTCCCACTTCTCCTATCCTTTGGAGCTCAATGACAACTGTAGTGTTTAGCCGGAACCTAGACGACAAACGCATTGAGACCATCATAAGAGTCGATCTCAACCTCATTTCTTTCTACAATCAAGCCCTATATGGAATAAGATCCAGTGAAATTCATCGACCATAAGTGAGAAAATCTTCTTCATTTACAGTAAAGATGACAATGAGAATTTTTTTGTTCAAATTTGGATCACTTTTGTTAATAGTCCCTTTGAACCCTGGTCACGAATTGCTTGATGATCATTTACGTAAATTTTGTGGTAAAAAGACCACCATTGCATTTTACCTTTCAGTGTAGAAATATGCATATGAATGTACAAAGAGGAAATTGAAGGGATATTTTTTGTTCTCACAATGCAATTGTATTGCTATATTGATGAAGCGATATATTTTGGATTGGAGAGTTGAAGTGGTGAAGAAGAAAGTGGATTGTATATAAAAAGACTTATTTTATGTTTTAACTCAATGATTTCATTTAGCTTAATACTAATGTATTATCTTTCTGTCACATATGTGAGATTGTGAATTGATATCCTAATCTAAATTTTTACAAATTTTACATAACGGATATTGTTTTATCAGCTCGAAATGAAAGTGTCAAAAATTTATCATAAGATAGAGTTATTGTTAAAAAAAAATTTAATCTATGACGAAGAATTTACAAATAAATATTGAGTACACATCTATGAAGTTTTTTGAAAACTTCTCATAATTTTTTGCTCATTGATACTTCGTTTTATTTTAATAATTTTTTTTTATGAAAAACTTGATATTAAAAAATTTTGAATTTTTCTATCATCTTTTAAAATATGATAATTTTTCTTATGTGAATACTTGAATTATAATTCAAATTTATCAACTATAAATTATAAATTTATGAGTATATCTTTTAAACTATCAATTGATATTTGAAAACATTGTAACGTCAAAACACGCAAGTGATAGTATACACTCAAGACAAGATCTAACGTGGTTCATCCCCTTGAAAAGGCTACGTCCACCGAAAACACGTTCCACTTTACTTCAATTTTTTTACACAAGACTTACTTCATATACAGGCCAATGTCGATTATTTATGTCATGCGAATACATATCGTCATACACTCTAAATCGTTGACATGCTACTCACATACACATACGCACACATATAAGACGCGAGAGCGTACACATTTAAATGTACTAGAACTCCCCCCCTAGTTGGCGGTCAGCTCCCTCAGACTCCAGGTAGCCCTATCTACAACTACATGTTATACACCTTCATGAGTACGCAAAACAGTAGACCGAGTGCTATGTCGCCCCATCGTTAGTCGCCTATCTGTAATTCATAACATGTGAAGATCAAGTCATCTACCCCTCCGAAGTACATTGAGGACAAACCCATCGTCTAGCCGGAACAACATCGATAAGTGGAGTCATGCATGACATTTACCATCTCCTAGAACATCTATCACACACTAAACATACAAGCCGCCTGAACTACTGACCCACATAACATGCACCTCAAGCCAGTACGTACTATTGTTAAGCTTGGATCCATAGTTCCATCCACGTTTGGGAGGTGACATGGCACACAATTGCGCACATGATACTTCCAAACAACACTGTCACGACCCTCCGACATGAGAGCTCCAGAAGCTAGCACCTCTCGCACTCGTAAGATTGTGCGTCCCGCCGTCACATCTAATGTTGTCGGTGCAGTCTCCTGTAGATAGACGTAGTCTTCCACATGGAACCTACGAAGGTCTGTCTATCGATGATCTATAACCTCCTCCCCGAATGGTTATGTACCGCAACGTATCTCTATGCTGAGCAATCGCAAGATTCTCAAATGCTGCAGGCATAAATCTCCGAAAGAGCTCTGCACGTTGAGAACACACTCTCACCCACATGTTCAAGTCATCAAGGTTCATCGTATATGGTCTATACTTGACGACTGAACCGATATTCCATGGCCAATTATGATAACTACATATTCCAGTCTCTAAGATGTCCTTTCTGTAGGCCATACTTGCGCAATGACTTCTTCACCGTCTTTACAACACGTACAGCCAAACCATCCGCCTCCGGATGATCTCAAGACGTGGTTCGATGATCAATTAGTGCCTTGTCACACAAGACCTGAAACTCTGTACCCTTATCGGTCAACACCTCAACATGTGCATCAAGGTAACTAAGCATCTTGTCAAGAAAGTCATACGCTGTTACCTCAGTCGCCTTGTCAAATAATGCCACCAACTCAATCCACTTGGAGAAATGCTCTACCATGACCAACACATACCGATGATGTCCTATAGTCAACGGTAATGGTTCAGCGATTCCAAACTTCAAAAGTATTTCAACCCAAGGGGGTTGAGTTATCGTTGGATAATGAATGGGTAATGGATGTATGTAATAACCCACTAAAGGCTAAAACTGCAATATAGTGGTAGAAAGGTCGAACCCACAGGGACAGAGGAACACACAGGGTACAAAGTGTCACGTTTTAACAGACTATTGAG